CTGCGGGACATCATCCTCAATGATCACTTCGGCGGAGACATGGCGCCGGAGATCGTGGACCAGTGGTTGAGGGCTCTCGAGCCTGGCAGGCAGTTCCCCCTCCCGCCCAATATCAAGGGGTTCTACGGTGGAAGCCTCCGAGAGTCGATGCCTATTGAAATCGCCCGGGGCTCGTACAAGCACATCATGCACACGACAGACGACACGGCTAAAGTCGACAAGTATGCCGGGCGGATGTTGATCGCGCTGTCGATACTCGACCTGGAAACGCTTGTTGCGGATGATCCCACGCTGGGTGCGCTCGCCTTGTGGCATAAAGCTCTTGCCCAGGTCCGACTGCCCGACAAAGCTGGGGAGCTCGCCCAAACGCTGCAGCAGTACCAAGCAGTCCGGCCAAGATCGAACCTGTCGGACAGCAAGCTGCCCGAAACTCCACGCCTTAAAATCAGGCTAGAAGAAGTGGCAAGAGAGTTGGGGAATACTGGGGCATTGGATCGGATTGCCGACTGGGATTGTTCATCTGCGAGTGTGTAGAACAAGGGGAGGACCCTGTTCATATCTCGGCAAGACGATATTGCCTCAGGCATTGACGGTTTAGCCCCCCAAACCCAGAACTAGAGAGAAACACCCTACTTAATATAATATTCGGATATAAGAATCGCGAGTATAGCGTCAGGGGGGAGGGTCGCCTGGTCGTAGCGCAGGTTGAGAGAAGCAATAAGGTATCCGTCTTGACTTGGCAACCTTCCACGACAACGAAGGAGAAAGACCACACGTTCACATTCGCTTCGGTATTTGACAACAGCGCGCAGGTAGATCTAAACGCGTGCTTGGAGACTCGAGGACAGCTGTGGGGAGTCGCGAAGAGAGGTTGGGAGGGAGTCGTGGGTAAGGACACGGGGTTGGAAACTGGGGGCGAAATCTGCAAAAGCAAACTCTTCTGTAGCAATCGTTCACTATTGCCTCATGGAGTCATGCCCTTAACATATCTTTATCGAGACAATGCCGTCCGTCTTGTTGTGCTCAGCCGATGTCATTGTGATGCTGTGAACGACGATAGCGAATGGGCAGGAGAAGCCAACGCTGATGGGACCATACCGGTGGATAGTTTCTGGAAAGCGAAGGTCTCGTGTAGAGACTGTCGTTTTCGAGGGCTGACTGCGGCACGCTATTGCCTCGTATGACCAACGGATCTCAAGGCAGGGTCGAGAAAGAGGAACGAGAGGAGGAAGCGATGGAGGAGTCGGACTTTGGGAGGCTGAGAATCGGGACAGAAGAGACACCACGAGACGGCATGTTGGTTTGTGTCTTTGTATAGGTCCTGGCGCTTAAAATCAACTGAGAATGGGTTGTAGGGTTCAGGGAGGACTGGATGGATGACATGCTGCATCGAGTTTGCGCAGGTGATAGCGCTGACACCAATGCTACAGAGAGTTCGTAAGGACTATGAAGAGGGCAAGAGGATGATCACAAATCAAATTTTTACTGATCAGCTGATGAAATGCTCGGCTGCAGGAAAACGAGACACAACCACCCCCAAGGCAACCTACCCCTCGCAGCCTTACGGTCCGCAATTGTGTGTGTAAATTAAAAAAGTCTCAAGTAAGATTCATCATACCAACACAACATGAGACATTAATAATAGAGATGACCACCTTCCGCACATTTCTGTTACGATTACGACAAAGGAGTACGAAATGCTGATGCAGAAGGGGGGGTTAATAGACCGAGCGCTGAGGGTGTACTTTTGTTTCTCCAAAAGACGCAACGACTGAGGGATTAACGGCACAGATGTATTGATGTAAAAAATTTTTAATAATAAAAAGAGACTGCGTGAATTCCCTAATAGCCTTGGAGATTAGATGCACGCAGCGTACAGATATTAATTAGAGGCAGCGTGAGGGCTGCGTCAATATGCATCGTGCCCCGCTGAGATTCAGTGCTTTCCTCTTTTCTGGCGAGGCTTACAGGGACTAAATCAATATTGACACCCTCTTTTGGAGGCGAAAATCCTCCTGGAGCTTTGATGCGGCCCAGGTGTGGCGGCATGTTGCCGTTCATCCTCTCCATTTGCTCTGAACTCTTGGTCCACGTCAACAATCCAAACAACGAAGAAATAAAATTCTTTCTGTATTAACATTTAAAAATAAACCCCTTCAGGTGGGAGCTCGGTATTACACGATTAGTCTCTGATTTCCTGGCTTGCTTCAGCCTTAGTGAATGTTTGTGCTTCCCTAGAGTGCACGTATGTGTGAGAGGACGCACGGAGGTATACCAGGCTGCGCAAAATAGGCGCCGGCCACGTAGGCAGCCCACTTCCAATGGCAGGGCGCTTTTCTTTGCCTTCATTCCTCCTCCTTGATGAATGTCTGAGACAGTGGTCTATAAAACGCGACTTAACGAACATGCCTCGACAATCATAATCTTCCATCAGCCAAGCTGATACGTGTGAAACTTGAAGAACTATCGAACCGAACCGACAAAATACTCTGGACACTCTAGAAACTCTGGGGACTCAGTGTACCAGAGATCCACGAAGATGGACTCGACCTTCCAACCTCGCTCCACGTTTCCCCGATACTATCGTTTGTGCTATTCCCGCCCTGAACAAACTGTGACAAGAGGCTCGAGAGACCTATAACATATTCCTATAGGCCCTATGCAGACTTGACTTGGAAATGGCGCCGTCCTTTACCAGTCTTTGTCCAAACCCCGATGACGCCTCGACTCGCCCACGACCCCTTCCCTCGACGACCCGATTTAATATAGCCATAAGCTCGTACGGATTTCCGTTTCGATGATGTCCGTCCAAGCTTTAGTTAAGGCATAGAAGAATAAGAGATAAGGTAAGGTTTCTGTGGGAACAAGTAGTTCCAAAGCACGTCGCGACCACGCAACAAGCGGGTTTGTTTACACCACTTCAGGCACCAGGACTCCGTCTCGCATATTGTACCACGGTACGCTCCCCCACATAACTTGTTTGGTCCATAGGTAGTCACAGGTACATCGAGCTCGGATGGCTGCATATTCCGCGCCCCCCCCCTCGCCTCCCCCATCGCCCCCTTTTCCTCGCCGGCGAGTTATTTCCCAATGAGCTCTTGATTTTGTTTTCACCGTTGCTTTCTTTTTTTCTCTCCAAGCCAATTTGATGAGATCCACACCTCTCGCCAGAGACGCAAGCATGCGCGGCCGCGTAAGACCACACTAGGAACCCGAGGAAACACCTTCAACTGAGCAGCTAGCCCATCCGGTTGGCTAGACTCGCTTTACGTCTTCTGATAATCCCCCAGATCCTGTAGTCTTGATCGTATAGATTGCCTTGGAGTGGTACGGCAATTTACTTAAGTGTAAGAAGCAAAAGGCTGAGGCTTGGATGTTGAGGGGGCTCTCCATCCGTGCACCTTGCTGATATCACATCATCGATTTCCAGCCAGCCACCAAAAGGACATCTCAGGGATCACTTCCGCATCTCCCTGAAGGTAAGCCTGTGGCAATTACCTTCTTCCGACGTGTGTGTGGGGGGGGCTGATATTGGGTACCTGCACAGGTCGATACCTCAGCAGGGGCGGGAGGCCTGCCAGTATGCTACGTGCCTGATCAAAACAATACGAAAGAATTTTTCAGCCAACCGGCCACAAAATGTTTCTAGGAACTCGGTAAGTTAATACAAGTGCAAGCTATATCGTCAATATAAAAGGGCGGACACAGCTACGTCAGGCTACAAGAGTGATTTAAGCCCCAACTAGTAGGCGTTTGACAGCCGGGAACTAGGTGGTAGCTTTTGACCTGCAAGTCACGGCCGGGCAGGCTGGGGGATTACCCCCGGCAGATCTCGTACGACTGGATCAAAGACCATGACATTAACTTCTCGGAAGCTAGGCCCATGGGATTTCTTTGGATCCTCCAATTTTCATCCTAGCGTTCCGGTCTGGGAATACGTAGTATTCAGCTGAGGCGAAGTAAATCGATTGGTTCTGAGAGACTGGATGAGGTACTGAATCGCGTGCGCCCGCAAACAAGTTCTTAGCTTTTGAGCTACTGCATGCTGTTGTGGATAGGGAAGGGCTGGAAACGTAAGTAGTTTTCTCATTCTCAAGCAACTTCCCTCCCCCCAGGGATGATGAGCCTTGCTCTAAAGAGCTGAGATCAAGAGGGGCGATCTCATCGTCGGGGAAAGGCTGAGGCTTCCGCTCGTCTCCATCTGGATGGACCCCCTTTTCAATAACCGAACGACATGCTCAGGCGCTTCCCCAGCATTCTAGCCAGTGCTACTCTTTCTTTGGACTCGACTAAACCATGACTAGGCACTTTTGACTGGCTCGAAGCCCTGAAACATGACGAGGGTAACCAAACATCAAGTTCTTTTCCAGTTGGATGGGGGGTGAACCGATTCCACATCTAGGTGGTAATTACATAAGGCAACTAGTAAGCAAGCAGGAGAGAGAGACTTTACTTTCCCTTTTTCGTTTGCACTGACCTCCTCTTTCATGATAGATCATTATAATTTTCTTTTTCGACGATGATGCCTGTCGAAGTATTTCTCTAGCCCATCCAAGTCCGCAATTTAGTCTCGGATCGGCTCTTCCCTCGTGGGATTGGCGGAAGCCATGGGCGGAAAACCCGACACTGGGAAGCAAACCGTCTACGCGAACACGATGTAAACAATAAAAAGAAACGACAGCTGGACGCAACCATCTTCTGGTGGGAGTCATGGAGGACTATAAGATCCCCCCTTTCTTCCCTCTGAAAGCCGTGGTTGTTCATCACGATACTTCCCACAGGGTCTTTGTCAACACACGACGCCTACTGTGCCAGGACGAGACGAGTCTACATACCGCGACTCAAGCTACCTTCCATCATGAGGTCGTACCGAGTGAATAGGAGGTGCAGCGGGTGCCACATCAAGTACATACCCTCCCCTTACTCTCCGCAGTCTCCAGACTTGTGCCAACGATGGACTGACTAGGCATGGACATAGCCATCGTTCCGTCCCACCCGCAATGCAGATGTATCTTGGGTCCAGAGACGATCCCATCAGTGCCTTGTTGCTTCGAACCAAGTCTAGAGTCTGGTTTCCGACAATCCCGCGCGTCACCGAGAATCAACATCTCCCGACCGTCAACAACGTCACCATTGACAATCAGCACCCGCTGTCAGCTACCGAATTGGACAACGACCTCCGCAGCATTGGAGCTTGGTCGGACGGGGTTGAAGCAAACATACGAGCAGCTGATGCAGCAGCTACAAGAGCAGAAAGGTATGCCATCCAAGGCTCCCACTGTTCTATCGGCTCGTTTTTGACTGACAGTACCTCCTTGCCAGTTGTCTCCGCAGAGTCCCCAACCACCGTCGAGCGGCCGATACATCCTGAAGAGTATTCCTTCAACGAGATCTCCATACAACGGGCGAGGGTTTGAGATACACTATGTGTTAGATGGAGTTTGTAGGACTTGGGCTTTTTCTTTCGATAGGATGACTCCCTCTTGGGTTTCGCCATACTGGTAGTTGCCAGAGTTCCTAAGTGTTGCCGTAGCTAGGCGCCGCCTTCAACGCAGCAGGTCTAGTTTTGACGATCATTTTTAAGTTTACTTCTTGTATGAGATGCTAGTTTAATTTAAATGACTTTATCCTCTCCTTGCTGTGGCTTGTGAGACGGGGTGTTTAGCAGTAAACGCCACTTGCATGGTGCTGGGGGTTTAATCCCTCCAACTGCTATGGCCTGTGCCGCCAATTTGGCAACCTGTACGGCCGCGTGCCTTCCATGGCTTCTCACACCGACTCCATAAACTTTCTAGCAACAATGCTGCGTCTGCGCTTTATCAGGGGGGAGAGAAATTTTGTTAAATGTCACGTTCGGTATTGTTGGCTCGCCTGGAGAGATGGGTCACTAAGAAAAATTGTTTCACAAGACACCCATTTTCGCCTGCCACTGAACAGTAATAACCAGAACAATTCCTCCAGCCTTCCTTTGGCAGACCACCTGTTAGCCTGGTCATTCCTGTATCTAAGCTTCGTTGCATGTGCTCAAGGCTCCTTAGGCAAACCGCAAGCGGGTTTGCCCGCGAATCGGAATCGGAACTACGTCTGACGATCTGTTTTTCTGTTGTCGCGCTAGTTTTCACAATTATTAGTCATCGTCACCCCTTTGAGACCACGGCGATGGCTTCTTTCCCCACACCAATACCAAGGGTTATGTCGTCAATCCGGCGACCACTGAACCGCGTCCACACCTCGCTCTGCACCTCCGATAACCAGCGCAGATCCAAAATGGGCGTCGACTGCGGCTTCGATGTCTATCCCTCGCTCAGCCCGCAATGCCAAGGCCAATACGAGGCTTTTCTTGAAGAGGTCATCCATAAATACAAAGACGCACTTCACCCCAATACCGGGGAGCCCCTTATCCAGATCATCGGCACACCAGAGACTAAAAACGCTTACGTCTTATTCAATGTTGGCGAGGACCCTGTGATACCCTACCGCTCTGAGTACTTTCTGCGCTTCCAGTCTCGGCAAGAAGTAAAAGATGGTGCTGCTGTAGATGGGCCCTGCTTGAACGTCCTTATGTCGCAGCTCATGTTATGATGATGCCGAGGTTGTTGCTGGCTGCCTTTAGAGCGGTCTATAGGTCGGCGTTTTCATTAGCATAGGTATTAATAATCTCGCTAGAGGCTAGGGCGAGCCCGTAGTTGATGATATTGTCGATGATAAGACCCTCTCTACTAGAAGAAGGACAGGCCGCCTGCTCCCCACGATAGCCTACACGCAAAGTCGGACAGGGCTGAGGCGAGTAATTATACCTATTAGCGATAAGTCTCCGATGCTATATATAGCGGATCGTCCACCGGCGAATGCGAGGCCGTGAGGGTCAGCTCCGCGTACATGGCACCCTGGCGCTCGCCGGCAGCAATCTCGATGACGCCGTCCTTGACGTTAATGCCCTGAGCAGACTAAGGCCTAGTGTGATGCCGTCCTAGATGTTGGCGGACCTAGGTAGGGGCTGGAGCCTAATGCTATGGACGGCGAAACCGAATGTGCTCATGAAAGGCTTGATGGTCTTGAGGAAGCTTATGACGCCTTCCTTGGACCGGGTCTGGACGATTCTCGCGGGTTCGAGGTCGCTCTCGAGGCCTGACAGATAGGAGGCGTTAGCAGCCTCTGGCACCACCGTCAGAGCCACCCCCTTTCCCACTTTGGACATGATTTCGACCGGGACATGCTCAATGGTCGCCCCTTTGCGGCCGAGGTGCCACACGCCCAGCCTCAAGTCATCTGATATCATCAGCGCCGGTCATGCAGAACAATCCCGACCTTACGTTAGGCCTGTTGCTGCATTGAATTTTATCTTGGTGGGAGGGAAGGGAGGAGGCAGCCGTCACTCTCACAAGCAAACTCTGCGTGCATCATCTCCCAAGATTACAATCAGGCAATTTTTTAAGGTCCACCCCTGCCCGACTGGACTCTCCAATCCCCCAGACAAAGTGACGTTCTGGGCAAGACGGGGATTATGGATTTTGCGTGTTTACTAGAATAGTCTTCCGAAGCTATGCTCTTTGTTTTCCCAGTCATGCGATGGAGGCTTCGCTCCCGAAACACACAGCTCCTCATCCTCCTGGGCTTCCCCACTGAATCTGACCCCTTTCTGCAGTTGTATGCCGAGCCGTGTGTAATTCAAGTGCAATATTTCCAGCAATTAGGACAATCCTCGCAACATCAACGAGGATAAGACAGCGAGAAGGAGATCAGGGTCTTGTACTCCACCAGTGGCGATCGAACCATCAACTGCCAAACACGTGGTCTAGGCAGTCTGGGCCAATTCACCTGAACACTGCGTGGCAGTACTCAGATACATTCTAGGCCAAGGACGAGAGACTGGGTGAAATTGGGCAGCTGACTCCCCACAGAGTAGGGAACTCAGAATGCCCATGTCCTTTGCGAGACTGCCTACTCTCCAAGCTGGTTCTGCCCCGTAAAAGGATCTTACTGAAATCCTGTACGAAACGGGCCGTTAACGGCATTATGCTTCTCTTTGAGGGTGTATGGCCCATGCATATGGGTGTCAAAATACAGGGACTACGAAACCCGCTTATAAAGCAAGATGGTTTAGACAATGGCTCTAAACCTCGGGTTTTAAAACACTTCACGAAATCATGGCTGAATCGTATTAGTCCTTATTTTCTGAAACCCACTTGTCATGTAAGCAGAAAGAAATGTTATTTCACCCCTAAATAGATCTGTTAACTTCTACGTATTCTGCTCGCTAAATATTCGGTCTCTAAACGTCCGCCACTCCTCCTTTAACACTTGCGCATCCTGGCGTAAAACCAGATGCTCATGTTATCGACTACTCGGTCGACACCGCGGCCAAATAGTGGAAACTACAGATTAACAAGAATAAGACCTATCACATGCAAATGATTTCTTAAAGAAGGATGGTTCGCTCTTCTTTCATCTACCTTACGGATGGGCAAGGAGCTGGCGGAAGTATAATACCCGATAAGGAAATTTCGAATGCCGGCGCTAAATCTTCACCCAAGGCAATTACCCGACGCGATTACAGGTAGGGATAGTAAATCAAGTTCAGGACGGCGAAGGTAAAGACTCTTACTCTTTTCCAAGGAATGTATTCCTTCTAATAGTAATAAATACGCAAATTAAGATTTTACATCTAAATATACAGAGATTAACGCTATATAAGATGATACTTCTCCTCTAGCCTCTATCTTCTATTTTACTACTATTATCTTTCACATTCTTTTATTCTGCAATTATCCCTTATATTTATTTATATCATCTTTTTCACAATCTGCGAATCAACCTTCATCAGAATGGCTTCCCTCAAACAACTCTCTGTAGCTTTGGCTGCTGCTATTCTTTCCTTTCCGAATAGAACTGTAGCTGGATCTGCAGAGACCACTGATTTTACTGTCCGTTCCGATAGCAGCGCTATCCAGGGCGGCGATTTCGCAACCAGATCTATTGATGAGGAGGATCAACGCAATGTTGCAGCTCGGGGTTTTTATGAGCTCGATGAGCGTGATATTGAGGAAGACCTTAGCCTCAGTAAGCGTGGCTCAATGAAATGCCGCTTCTGCAATGGAGCTCACCCATCAACAAACTGTCCATTTAAAAAAGGGCGGAAGCGCAATGTTGAGGACGACATCAGCATTGCAGCTCGGGGGTTTTATGAGCTCGATGAGCGTGATATTGAGGAAGACCTTAGCCTCAATAAGCGTGGCTCAATGAAATGCCGCTTCTGCAATGGAGCTCACTCATCAACAAGCTGTCCATTCAAAAAAGGGCGGAAGCGCAATGTTGAGGACGACATCAGCATTGCAGCTCGGGGGTTTTATGAGCTCGATGAGCGTGATATTGAGGAAGAGCTTGGCCTCAGTAAGCGTGGATCAATGGCATGCCGCTTCTGCAAAGGAGCTCACACATCATCAAAATGTCCATTTAAAAACGGCCGCAAGCGCAGCCTCAATAAGCGTGGATCAATGAAATGCCGCTTCTGCAAAGGAGCTCACACATCATCAAAATGTCCATTTAAAATCGGCCGCAAGCGCAGCCTCAATAAGCGTGGCTCAACGAAATGCCGTATCTGCAATGGGGCTCATGCTACAGCAAAATGCTCACTCAAACGCCATTAAAGGGTCTATGTTACGAACTGCCCCCTGCGTCACATAACAGATACGCTGAGTTATCACGACAACATCACATGACTCTGTGATATGCACGATATCCCACATAGCACGCATATCATGCTGCACTTATCAATGATATGCCACCTATCCAACATATCATTCTAGTATATATATACACATTCATTTCTGAGCTAGAAACACTCTCTCAGACAGTTATCAATACAATTGCTACTGCTTTCATTGAAACTAGCTCTTCAGTGCTCGCACACCTTTTTGATGGGGGTGTCGTGCCACAACAGTGTCGTGCCACAACATAAACTGTAATCCACGAGGCACAAAAGCCCGTCCTCCATGGTTATTACCTCATCATACGGCGTTTGACATCACCAATCCTTTAGTAAACTTCCCCTTCCGCAATAGAATGGCGAGTTCTGTTCCTCGACGCAAACCCTTGCTCTGACTTAGCACCCTTTCGCTCTGTTGACGTCGATGACATTGGCTTTCACTTGTTCTTCTGCTTGGAACTAGAGCGAAGAGCCGCTCACAGTGTGCCACAACTTATCACGTGAACTCGCTTTTCCCATTGACTGTCTCATGTCCAGGTTATTTGGAAGAACACAGGGGTCTCTATCACCATCCTCTAGCCTAGTCTAGCCAGCACATCCCACCAATCCTACACCTTGCTTTTTCCTCGTGTCCATTCTTTTTTTCTCTTTTCTCCCCCGCTGGTGATGCTACCCCGGACTCAGTATTAGTGGATGAGCCTATCTAGTTGATGCATGTGGGCGATCCGGGCTTCAGCCAGCGAATGTTATCGAGGATTCCCTCCTTTCGAAAATCTTCTGATAATTCCTTTTCGTTCTGGGTAAAGTGGCCCCAAGATTCGTAGTGCATAGGTACAAGCACATCGGCTTTAATGTCACGGAAGAGGTGAGCAGCCTGCTCTCCATCCATGGTGATCTGCAGCCCGGGCATCATAGCCTTGCCCAAATTCATGATGGCAACGGCGATGTGGAACTTGTCAGTCATTTTGGCGAGATCTTCTACATAGATCGTGTCGCCAGAGAAATAAATGGCATTTTTCCGCCCGTCTGTGGCCCCGAAGTCTTCGGCGTGAATGATAAACCCGACACACTCGTGCCCGGGGACGTGTACACAGGGCGTTGCCGTGATCTCGAACATCTTACCACTAATTATGACCCGAGTCTCTTCCCAATCTTTGAGGCCGATGACACTAGGACGGGGGGCAAGATTATTGGCTCCGTCCGGGGTAGTGAAGACGCGGCGGCCATCAAAAAGCTGACGCCCAAGTTCATCCAGGTTGTCGGGATGGTTCTCATGGCTAAGAAGCACCGCGTCGATGTGGGGGAGCTGGTTCAACTTTAGAGCGGGATCATCGCTGACCTTTAGCTCGCCTCCCTGCGGAAGTGGCCAGGAACTCCCAGCCGGAGAGAAGAACGGGTCGGTCAAGAATGTGATCCCGTCAATTTCGAGGATTGCGGTAGCAGTCCCAATGTGAGTCATGGTGACTTTCTTCGTGAAGGTTGAAGTGATAGCCATGGTTGTTCGCGTGAAAATACACTTGAATTAAAATGAAACAAACTGATGATTTTGACATGCCAAACGTACCTCCTGGCTGGCTTTTATATGTGTCCGCTCAGACTGCTGACTCGGAAGTCGGAACTCGGTGAGAATGTTTCAAACCCATACAATTAACTCTGACGGACGATTGATTTCAAATCACTCCGAAGCATAGGAATATTAATAACCCCCAGATCGCAAATGTCTCATCTTTACAAAGCGTCATGGCGGGATGGTTTATGTTGCACGGATGGCTGAGGTTATACTGCCATGGTGCTGTCCAATCAGCGCTCTCTTCCTACATGCTGAGTAGTGAAAACATGACGAGTAATGGGCGAACTAAGCTGGATTCAGCGATCAAACCCGCCAAGATGACGCTATTTTCTTCGTGGAGGCACCAGGCTTTGTGCTTATTCTATCCCTGCTCCTCGCCTCCCAACCTCAGCCTCAGCTGTTCTTAGTTAACACACCCCGATGCCAAGCTCTGCGACTACGTCTCGTAAGTATTTGCCTTCTTCGACTCGCCCTATGGCTATTGGGTGATTGCGGGCAATCGACACAGCAGGAGATAAAATTGCGACCCACCAGAGAGAGCGTTTAAACGTCACCCGGCTCTATGAAGTTCCGACAGACCCGAGTGTGTCATAACTGCCGGAGGCATAAACTTGGTGTATGAAACAATTTGAGAAAATCTTCTCCGATCATTCCATGCTGACTCTATCGTGTGCTTGTTGAGTGTGACGGCAAACGTCCGGGTTGCACTCAATGCGTCCACACCGGACGCCAATGCGAAGGATACCCGGGTCTTCTCTTTGTACAATCCTCTCTGACTCCTCAAAGTCAGCCTTCTTCAAAACCTCGGCAAAAAGCCCGGGCAAGAGTTAGGCGGGAGCCACAATATCACAAGCCAGCTATTATCCAGGGTACATCGCCCATAGTACCGCAGTACTCAGGCTCGATCAACGTACAGCCTCCTTCATGCCCCGCGTTATACGATGTCCATTTTCGACCTAAAACTTGCGACGAGCTCTATCCATTACGCCTGCCCTTGCCTGACACACTACAAGACACTATATCACTGGTTGTTCGAAGCTATGTCCCCATGATTGAACTGCCCTCCGGCCTTCGATCAATTGTTTCCCAGTCGACGCTGGTTTGCGGTGCTTGGGTCGAAGCCCTTCCAGATTTAACTCGTGGAAGTGGAAGCCTTATTGACGAGTGTCTAGAGCATGCCATAAGATCCTTGGCACTATCCATAACCGCCAATAGAACGAGCAAACCCCTTCTCACACCACTATCTCAGCACTACGGCAAAACCCTCAGCTTGCTTCGTCGAGCTCTGAATTTGCCAAGTGATTCCCATCAGAATGAAAAAATAGCGGCGATGATGTGTCTCGCATTGTCTGAGGTGAGCACTTGCTGACTGGAGTCACTAACCGTTAATTTACGGTTAGTGACTAAGGAAATATGTAAACAGACGAGACTGATCTACGGCTTGACTAACAACTACCAAGGCTCTGTTCCCGGTGGCCCCAAACAGCTGGTTCATACATCTACGTGCCATCAGCGAGGTCATGCAATCATGCAAACCTGAGACCTTTAGTACTGGTATATCACACAAACTGTTCACCGGCATCAGGCCACTACTTGTGAGTTTAGCCCAACTGCCATATCTCGTCTTCCATGCCAAAGTATGTGAGTCAAAAAAGGGAGACCCGTTCTAATTCTCCTTTCACCCAGATCTTGGAGGCCATGGCGGCTCAGAAAGCTACCTTTCTCGCTTTAGACGAATGGAAAGCGATACCGTTTCAACACAACGGACCTTCCTCGATGCAAGGTTTCCTCAGCCAGGCAGCCATTATTCCGGAAATACTGCAAAAGGCAGATATTTTAAACACTGAAACACTTGAAAATGACGGCATAAAAAGACTTAACGAGCTATCAGACATAGTTACACAGCTTGACGCTTCAGCCATCACATTTGAGATTGAGCCAAACGCTCCTGCGTATTGGCCTACCTCACAAACATGCGATGCTGTTGGAAATGGCTACCCACACCTTTGTTTTTCGGATCTGAACGCTGCCAACGCCTTCACCCATCTATGGGCCTTCGAGATAGTCTGCCTTTCCAAGATCAATGATTTGCAAACTGCATTTCCATGCTTGGGCGACATGGGAGACTCCTTCTACGGTGATGATAACTTGAGAAAACCAAATATGCGTCGCCGACGGTGTATAGATCTTGCCATCAACATATGCCAAAGCATGAAGTATATGACGAGAGAGGAATGGATGATGTATGGGCCCTCGTGTGCGGCTTTTCCAGTCCGTATGGCCTTCAGCGTGCTTGAAATGGATGATCAGGGAAGAGAGATTTTATACAACTTGAGTCAATCGGCTTTGAAAGACATAGATAACCGTTTTCTTCCTTTAATCGGCACTCGAGTCAAATAGAAAGATCGCTTGCTGGTATCAATTCGCTTTCAAACTGTGGTATTACTTGATCTGGCAGGTATTGTTGAATGTCATGGTCTTGTCAACGTGTGTTGTAGCTAGACAATCGCGGACGATACAATGGTTCAAAGCTGTTGGCTGTTCTATACTCAAACCATCGCTTTACACATAAATTCGTTAGATTTTAGTACCCAGTAGAGGTCGAGGAAGTAAAGAAGAAGAAATATGCGATTTTTATTGAATGTCTAACCCGTAAAACCTATGTAAGCGAACGACAGATAAGCTGATCGATTTCAACGACCAGATGATGGTAGCGACCGGACTGGGTATATAAAAGAAGGCCAAAAGATTCGTAAATGTTCATGAGTCGAGCGATCGTCAGTTTGCCACTCCCGTAGCTGTTCTATATACAGAAAAGTTTGAATAGTATGTACAAAGAATTGAAATGATGGCTAGATAGCTATCAGAAGGCAGAGGCGAAAAGTCCTCCACCAAAGTGTTCTTTTGTGAACTCAGCCACATTTGGACTTGGCCAGAGCCCAGCCAGTGAGGCGGTTTGCAATATCGGAGACGTAGCACTTGGTGCTGCCGAATCCATTGCTAAAGTTTTCAAAGTCGACAGAGCCGCTGTTGTACATTCGAGCAGCAGCGTACAGCGCCCGGCTGCCCGCGCTGCCGATGGTCTTCAATGTCTTTGCGAAGCACTGCTTCAAGCCATCGCCATCGGAGGTACCAACAACGCCATCCCGAATCATCAGCTCGATTGTGGCGGCGGAGCATTTAGCGACACCATCGCAGCTGCCTTTGCCGTTGTGAGACTGCATCAGGCCGGGGTTTCGGATTGGGTTGTAGGATGTGGGAACGCGAACGCATCCCTTGCTCTCCTGCATCATGACAGCAAGGATAATTCGACTATCCACTTGGGTTTCGTTGGAGACCTTCTTGATAACCTTGTTGATGTCACTGATTTCTGTCTCCGAGTTGTCCTCACCCCATTCATTCCAGGTGCAGGACTGGCGAATCAAGGGCAGGTTCTGTTTCCAGAGCTGGTCGTAGGTACCCCAGGAGTCTTTGTTGGGCCAGCTGGCACTCTTGCTACCGTCCCCGGAGTAGACCTTGTAAGTGTCACTAAGGGTCACTTTGGCCTTGCTGGTTCCCTCGCCATTCTCACCAATCTGATCCTCAAGATCAGGGAGCTCGGCTGAAAGGTCCACCGGCAGAGCAGCAGCAAGAGCCGCAAGGAGGGTGGTGGAAAGGAAAGCGACGTTGAAGAGCATTTTGATCTACAGAGTCCGGCTGTGTAGATATTTATTTAGGGAATGTATGGAGACCTGAGTTTCCGAGAAAGCTTGGTGTGTGAAGATGATTGAAGCCGGAGGGGAAGGGACGCTGCCATTTTATCCTCTTCACAGTCTTCCCGAGGTCCAAACAACAAAAGGGCAGCTCGGAATCACTTGGTACATCGCCAAAGATGGCAGGCATCTGATCCACACTAACACCGGCATATGTGTAAATGGTGCCTTCCGGGGGCTCCATATTCTTCCCCTCTCAAAGGCCCTGCTGGGAGTTTCCATATGTAGCAATAAGTCGACTGATCCTATGGAATCCTTGAAGGCTGGAAGCGTGAACGGGTGCATTGCATGATTCAGTTGCAGCTGGCGGCTAAGACGTTGGTCGTCAAAAGAACACTAGCCAAAATGTGACTAAAACAGGACGTAATGCGGAGAGCGGGTTGAAAAATGGAAGCTCCTCCCGGTAGCGACATGGATTCACCAAAGGGCATCCCTTCCATGCTTGAGGGGAAACCGGATGCGACCCTCAGTGGAGGCCAAGCCCGTGGATGGCCTCGAATTGCCCGATGGACGCTACCTGAGCCGAATTCTGCCAGGAACGGACCCGAGGTCACAAAAATGGTGATGAAGGATCTTGGTATTTCGAGCCAGGGTTGGGTTGTTACGTTTTCCTCAAGAAATGATTCCATCATGTTGGCAGGCTGCCCCCCAAGGCAATGCTTATATTTAGTGCTTCGTTGTTATGAAGCAATAGGCCAACCTGATATGCTCTGGTACCTTCTTACAATACGCTGGCAGATCCCCTCACGACGGATCTTTGTGCTTACTTAGGAAGGCCACAGCAGGTACCGGTTCAAGCCATGCCCATGACCAGTGGAGTCTTATTGCTGGGAACATTTCTCGGCAGGGAGGGGAGTCTACCGAAAGATCCCAGCACTGGGGACAGGTACGAAGCAGACGCAACCGCCATTCCTACCGAGGGCAGAACATCAGTTGGGTTAAAGTGTCCAAGCCGACTTCAAGTTGTTAACACGTTTCAGAATCCACGCGGGGAACGAACGATTTCACCGTTCGGTGTGGTCGAACGAACCCATCTGCAATACAACCTTGCAGGATTGATGCTACATTCCATTTACGTAGACAAGCTATTCCTAGAACCGGCCGGGACGGGATGCCTGAACTGAGGGGCGATGCACAACCGAACCAACCCGCTACTAGTACATGGATCAAATATGCCTCTGGCCCTGCTGCCACCTTGTGATGCTTGGAAAAACCGCACGGATGACTTGGAGTTCCAACTTTGACCTCGGAGGCTGCAGGTTGTGCAGGGCCGGTGTTGCATTGAGCATTCGTATGCCCCTGCACCATCGTAGCGTTTGGTAGATCCTTGTCCACGCAAATAAGCTGCGCGGTGCTTGGATAATACCGCCGCCGGAGCCGTGAGCGACTGGCTAAAATGCCTCTCTTCAGGCGGAAATGGAATTTCTACGTCTATGCAATCCGCCTGGTTCGTTATACAAAAGCCCGAAGCAATGACGTGCTGTCGTTCGTTCAACCAAGTAGCCGCATGCCGCTTACGTGGCTCATACATACTTGGCCTATGGTAGGGGGGTCGGCTGAATTAGACCCGGCAAGAATACACATGCATTCACTCACTACTAATAATTAGTCTCAGTGACACTATGTATTCTTTGTTTATCGTGGAGGGAACAGCTAGAAAGACAGGTGCACTGACTGTGTACATTTGGTGATTTGTCACCGTGATGTGTTATGTACTTGGATGAGCCCTCTACAATAGATAACCATCGTTTAATAGCTGATAGGTCGAGACGTCTGTCTGCCACTGTATAAGAATTATGGAAGAAGGGTCAAGGAATGCTGTGGTTTTGTAACTAAGTCCATGTAGTATCAGGTTTACGAACACATAATGATGAAAGCAAACCTTTGTTCGCTCTGAAATCCGGCTCTGGCTAGCTCCAGAATGTTCTCTTAAAGCGCTGAGTTTTTAGTAATAAAGGAAAGAACCAGTTGCAGGACTGTAGTAGGCAATATGACTTGACCTATTTTCCAATATATCATCCATCCAGCTTGTTGAAATTTAGACGTAGCAGAATATCCACTGAGCCAAGTGTTCCCGCAACGGTCACAGCAATTGCAAACTGAGGGGGAGTTTATAATATTAAAGATCAACGAAAGTGAATATTAAGAACACATGGCTGAATGTGAAAAATCATCATAGGCGACTGAATATAAATAATAAAAACATGACTGCAACGCTTTACTTTGTGCTGTTTCAGGTGAATGCCGGTTTTCGTCATCTTGAGCACACACGGCGATGGTCACCTACCCAAGAAGTCGAAAGTTCTCTTACTCTCTACCTAAGTACGGTTCTCCTTCTATTCTTGAAAGGGCAGTCGGGAAACGGAAGAAAGAGTTCTATTCCATATGGTGATATATGTTCGTAACAGGCCGAGAGCCTCCTCTGTGGACTATAAATATGGCAGCCCTCGCTTCTCTGCTGTTGAGAGTCATTGAACCATATCTTAAGAGATCACACTCAGGTTTTTCGCACCCGCCAAAAGAACTTTGAAAAAAGGTTGAAAAACAGATCGAGAATATAGAAAAAAATGTCTCAAAAAGCACGATCAGCATCGTCGGTGGAGGACAAAATGCCGTACGAGATTTGGTCAATGATCCTGGAACCTTTGGAAGCTGAACTCTCATCTCAGTCATGGGCCAGACCTATGACCCAAAACGATCCTCAAAACACCAGAACTCTTGCATCAGTGTCTGGAGTTTCTGAAGCAGCCCACCCCGTTGCGAATCAGTTCCTATATCGGACCTTGGATTTGGAATCCCTCGAAAAACCTAGAGTAAGCACAGTGTCGCTTCTTAGAGCATTTGCTGATCAGCCAATTCTGGGAGAGCACGTACAAAAGTTACGTGTAAATTTCAGCAAGCTTGTCGCTACCACAAAGGACGACATCAAGTGGGATGAGCTTCTCAAGAGCTTAGAGAGAAGAATTGGAGCAGGGGGTCTCAGGAGTGAGGCCAAACAGTGCCTCCAGATGTGGGTAAATACTACAAGGCAAAATAAAGACTTCCCCGATATTGTAACGCCTTTTGTTTCGCTTCTTCCAAGACTGCAAGTTCTTGAATGTCAGATGAAGAGGTGGGATCCTTTGGCAGGAAACCTCAAGAACTGCCCTTCGCTAACCGAGGTGAGACTCAAAGCCGCCAACGAGACACACCCAGTCAGCATTGCCGAGATTCTACCAGCTCTGATGCATCCCACTCTTAAGGTAGTTCGTCTCTATGGTTTCGGTTCAGAAAAGAAATTTGGCGGAAACCTGTGGCCCAATTCCAGCGTTGAAACTGTTGATCTTGGAGATTCTTATCTCAATAAAGATGGAGTATCAGGAATTTTCCAACTGTTCCCGAAACTGAAAAACTTCTCCTACGAATTTGGCAGTGTCAAAAGGATGAAAGACTGTCAGCGAGCCCAGATCACAATCGGAGAACTTGGTGACGAGTTGAGAGCCAGGGGAAAGTACTTGGAATCTCTCACAATTGACACGGTAGTTCTTCTCCATTTCCCGGACGCAGATGACAACAGGACTCTCGGGTCGTTTAAGGGCCTGGAATCACTAAAACACCTTTGTGTCTGCAAGCCTTGCTTGATTAAATCGGGATATGGCCAAGACGAAGGTAGGGCCTGGGAAAATGCCCTTCCTTCGCAGTTGGAGTCAATCCATTTTCTACCCGAATTAAGAGTTACTTCCGCCTCCTTTCCGCCCAGGAAGGATGAAGAATTACTCAAGTTCGTCAGAAAATACCTATTAAGCAACGAAGGGAGGTTGAGGAGCCTCAAAAAGGTTTCAGTGGAGCTGCACTGCTCAAAAGCTCAGGTCCATGATGAGAGCGGGAACGTGGTCGAAGACTACTTCGGTGAGTGGAAAATCGGAAGGAAAGAAGAATGGGTTTCGATGGTGCCAACGATTTTGTATGGTGAGAAATTTAAACCGACCATCGTTGAGTTTATTAGGTCCTAGAAACATGCCGTCGTCTACTGGTTGAATACCTAGAGTTTGATCATATGACATCGTCAATCTCGAGCATTACCTAGATTAGGCAAGGAAAGCTCACATTTATGAACAAATGGTAGCTATTTATTAAATACAAAGGCTTCTTAGTCGCCAAAACTTTGCTTCGACACCAGTGAGCCTATTAAACTGAAGAATATATTTAAAAAGCAGATATTACACCCTCATCAATTTGAGATGACCCATAACCTGGATAGGACTTACGCCGAGTTGGCAATTAACAGTGGTATCTCGTGCAAGTATCCCATGTAAGACGGTGCTGCCTACCGAGTTTGTAGAAAGGCGATAGATCCGTCAAAGTCGGCCAGTTAAACCCTTTGTTCGTCCTCTTCATTTTCTTTCCTGTACAGACCCTTCTGGTGCTAGACCGCTCAACTGTTCTTTTTGTTTACATGAAATATGTACATCTTCCACACATGTAAATTGGAGTCTTTAAGAGGAATTGAATTACTAAGGAAACATATCAACCGCCCACCGCAATATATGTTTCACGTCAGGAGACTTTTTTTATCTATTGTACACTTTACCGCCTTTAGGATTAGCTCAAGAATATCACCGGCTTGACCTTTTCCCCAACATATACCGGTATGTGTGTACTGTTGATACATTGTGCCTGTGGTCACGCAACGCTTGGTCATTCTTGAACCCAAAGTCCAGTTTCTCTCTTGAACTCGAGAAGCCAGTCCGGATTATCAGCCGGAGTTTGATTCCATGGGTCATCGCTTGAGACAAAAAATTAGCAAATGCCGATCAGTACCCATTGAGGAGAGTGACATGACCTGCCTGTCATATATGATCCATCGCGCTTGATACTGGAGCTCTTCATCTGTTGGTGTATGGCTATTGGGGTTAAAAGGAGACATAGAGTTGAGGACAAACCGACTAAGACGTCGCCAGAGGCCTCTATACACATTTCCATCATTGTTTGTGAGGCCCCGCTCTACTTCAACTGCAGGCATAGCTAGAGACATTGGTGGGAGGGGGACTGATGTTGTTGGGCCGAGGCCTGCGCGGAGACGAAATTGGGCCAGCCAGAGTGTTGAACAGTAAAGTAGGTTAATCAACAGTTTGCTGAGAACCTCCGACGGACCGGACATGTCCTTGATAATAATACAAGCCTGTCGCTGAAGGGCACTGTCGTCAGGATCCACGTCGAATTCCTGCAATTCTCTGACATATTCACGGAGAGAAGTCTCTAGTTTGCAGTCTTCAAAGATCTCATTCTTGCCGTGGATTTTTAATGGTGTGATTCGAGACCTGGCCGCGCTCTTCATAGGTCTCATTTTCGCCTTCTTGGTGATTTCTTCCGATGATATCAATAAATCACGCAACCAAGAAGGCGGACGTGATTTAGACTCCTGGTTGAGAATTTCGGCCCCGAAGATAATGCAACACGCTTCGTAATGTAATATTCCTGCTGAGGGCTCAGAATGGGTGGTCTCGGTATAGTTTGTGAAGAAATACTCTAGTTCAACCTCGATGAGCTCGAAGGCGCTTCCTGGACTATGTGGCGTGCCTTGTTGTGTCGTAAATGGTAATGGCGAGTTGCGCTCATATTCGATCAGATCTGGATTTATCGTTAATTAAATGAATTACTAGCCCTGGAATCAAGCGCGGCCAACGACTTACAGGGCTGTATACCGTTTTCAACCATATCGAGAGTAGCTTCGTCAAAGCCCCAACCCCCCTTCCAATCGGCCATTGTGCTCCCGTCCTTGAAATGCCCAGCCAGATGGCTGGCTCGTTCGGTCCAAGTTTCCAGCTCAAGATCACAAAATCCACATCGGGATCGTATTTGCTCATACATTGATTTCCACTCTTCCATCAATCCCTTCATGAATTGAGAGTTGTGCACAAGCCTAAGGTGTTGTCCTAGGTGATCTTTCCGAGAGAATATTCTCTCCTCCTTCAGTCGTTCCTGACAAGCATGGTGATTATGTGTATGGAAGTGGGCTTCCTGCGGATCTGCAAGGCCACAGTAGACACAAACCAGCCCCGACTGGGTATGAACAGTGGGTGAACCGCTTGGAGTACACTCCCATTGCTCAAGAGACAGGTGCAGTGATTTCTCATGCCTCTGCCATGTGTGTTTTGTCTTGAAAGTCTCTGTGCAGAAGGTACACTGGTATGGGTGACAAGCCTTCACTAATGCTTCTTGGGGGTTGATTTTCTTCGCGACAAACGCCCGCCGCTTCTTTTTTCTGGTAAATCCAGATAATCTGGCTGAGCCTCCCGATGAATGAGAGTATCCCGAGGCGTGAGAGCTTTGACTTGAGTGAGAGGTCTCCGCCCCGGTGATCGAGGAAGAGATGCTATGTGGTCGCCCATCTTCTCGCGTACTGTCTATTGATTCTTCAAAGTCTTTCGATGCCCCCAGCAGCGCGCGCGCGATAGCAGGAACACTCGCAGGTTCATGCTCCGGAGGCGAGTTTCTCCACCGTTCGAAAGGGTCCATGTGCTGAACGATTGGCGTTGGTGGTCTACCAGTAGCATGCGAAATCTCCCGGGGTGCTGTGTCCGAAGGTGTTTGAATATTTGACGGGGAGGCTGATGTCCAGAGTTTCTTCCTCCTACGGGCATTAGCGAACCAAGTCAAGATCTGTTTCTTGTTGAGACCTGATTGCTTTTGCATAATCTCGACATCTCCAACAGTAGGATAAGGGCGGTTGATGTGAGACGAAAGCCATCTGTTGAGAACCCGAATCGAAGCGGTGGAGAATCGTTTCTGCGGTTGAGTAGCCGTTGCCTCCCTGTTTGCTACGTGAAGACTCGCGGGCTGGTCTCTTGCAAGAGAAAGAAAATCTGTGGGACTTTCCTCATTTTGGAAGGATTGTTGCAGAGTGCGAAATTCATCATCACTTGAGTATTCTTGACTGAGCCAGTTCGAAATTTGCAACACTGGGTCTTCGGTTGCAAGCAAATCGCTGTACGTAGGACCAGAAGGATCAGAATCTATGAAGAACTCGTCACCGGGCATCGGTGGACAATCAACAGAGGAGCCGGGTTGTGATGATGACCCAAAAGGTTGATCATAATCAAAATCCCACACCTCGGGACCGACACCGGCCCAGAGCGGAGAAGTATCTGCCCGGCTGGAAGCAGTATCCGAAACTATGGGCACATCAAGGCACTCTGAGGCCATATGTGATAACATGTCGCGCCTCTAAATGTGCCATTCACAAGAATACTTCGATGAAGGGGGAGCCGTTGATCTATTAGAGAGGATTCAACCTTGGACATTGAGTGACGAGGTGATCACCGGAGGAGATCTGTTGGCGTTGGCTCCGAGTGCGCTGATGGTCCACAAAAGGCTTGTCAAGTTGAGCCCTTTGTTAGAGCTCACCCAATTCCACACCCGCCATTGGTGGGGGGCAAGTGTAAGGCAACCCCTTATCTCCGCCAACTGACTCACTCGGCTTATGTATGGCTAGATATACATATGTGCTTACAGTGTCTCTCTAATCTTCACAGATAACAACGTACGGGTCTCACTCTTTGGGCCTATGGTGTCGAAAAGGGATAACACGGAACTGCGAAATGTGAGGGTATGATTATAGCGATGGCCGCTACGGACTGTCAGATCGGTGAAATGAAGCTGGAAACAGACGCATCCGTTTCCCTAGACCAGGGGGTAAATCGCCACTGTTTCGGCGTCAGCCAACTAGTCAATAACGCCTGCCTGAATCCTTGTAGTTCAATGTTGTTAAGCCAAGGGTGCAACTCTGGTATCCACTCAACCTGGTGTACATAAGAAGTAAGTAAGCTGCCTTCTAGAAACACTACCGTGTTTTCGATAGAAGTCATTGGATAAAATTCATCCACTCATGTCCTATCAATTTATCCACGTCGATAAGTCGGCATCAGTCTTATCCTACAATGCCAAGAAGTACAGAAATCTCCGCTTGAAAGCTTTGAAGGAATCACCTGAAGCATTCACTTCAACCTGGGCTGTGGAGTCCTCATTCGCAGACGATGTTTGGGTTTCACGCCTTCTTGATCCAGAGAAAGAAACATTCGTGTGTGTCTACAACAGCCCCGACCAAGACCCAGAGTGGGTGGCCCAAGTCACATTGCGTGGTCCCTTGGCCGACGCCGACTTCGCCCTCCCGCCTGAATCTGGCCAAGTCGTCAATTCGGGAGACGAGAAATGGCAGATGTTTAGCCTTTACACATCTGTAAGCCATAGGGGGAAGAAACTAGGGTCGAGTCTCTGTCAACGAACTTTCCAATTTCTCTCCGAGAAGCGAGCGACCCAAGCTAGTAATATTTCCGTGCGTCTCATGGTAAGACCGGACAACGAGATAAGCATCCGAATGTATCGAGGATTGGGATTCCTAGAGACTGGCAGGTGTACGGTAGAGGAAGGCCTGAGGGCAAATGGCGAAGCGGAGTTGATCCCAAAAGGTCATCTGGGGGAAAAGTACACAACAAGAATCGGGGTCATCATGGCAATAAGACTCCAGGCGGCTAGTGATGATGGTGTAGTTGAGATAGATGCTTAAATTTTGATAGGTTTTCATACGTGTATTTATACTATTATTGAGCAATTACTTCAGGACATTAAACAGCTAGAGTTGCCTGCATGCTAGTTTAAGAGTGCCATGTTCTTCTTGGCTGCATGAGGGCTGTTTCGGGTTGATTTTGCGCAAGAGGAAGATCTTGTGGGGTGCGTTGACGTTATCCCGAAGCTGACTCGGCCACTTTCGCTGATAATTGCTTCATACGGCCGATCCAGTGACGACAATGGGAAGACCTTTCCGATTGCTACTCGAGCCATCTCTGCATTTGTCAAAAACATGATTGATTTGGGGTACATGGTAAAAAAGAAAACTGCCGCATATACATCTCCTTCTGGACCAAAGAGCCAACAGCACGTTCAGCCTCTGCATTTAATGATTAATTTAGTGATGCTTGTTGTTTGATTTGGAATGTGATTGAATTGGTAGAAATTGAATGATTGAATTCGCTGGCCTGGGTAGACGACCTTTCGATTTACCTTCATAGATAACCTAAGTCCTACAATCTCATTGTTCCGTGAATCTCAAGATGAATCCAGGTTTTCATCTAAGCTAATCATATTCAGGCGACATGTCAAACCATTCCAACACTGGATGCAGAGGATTGCTCTGAAGGTAAGTTTGCACCCAATCAGTCCTCTCGTTCACTGAACCTGCCCGAACCCTTCACAAAAAGTTTTGTCTCCCGCAGTAATTGAACCATGTTGAAGGCCTCAATAGAAAGCTGCTTGTATGTATAACTTACTTATATGCGGTTGGTACTCTCTCCGTTCCTTCCAGATCACGAACCACCCTCGTTGTTTCCTCATTTTACCTCTAGAGCCCCAATTGCGGCACGAAGAATGTTTTTCAATTCTTGGCCATCTTTCAAGAAGATCCGGAGACTCTCCGCGACTTTGTCAAAAGCCATATGGTCATTGAAGAGATCAAGACGAAATTTGGATTCGTCGGTGGCATAGGATACCGTTGTGCCATTCGCGATGCAGCCTGTAATGAATTTAGTCTGGGCAGTCAATCTTTTTGGGGAATTTGGGTACTGACTTTTGTTATTCACGAGGCGTTGGCGAACAGGATAATCAGCATTCGATAACTCCTCTAATAACTTTACACTGATCGTCATTAGACCAACACCGGCAAGGTGAACGCACTCGTCAATGTTGCGCAGACTAGCCGCCATTATTTCGGTCTTGATGTCGTGGGTTGCATAGTACTGATGAATCTCGGTTACCAACTTCACGCCGGGGTCTTTCACACCGGTAAAGTCACGACCTGGAAAGTGCTTCTGCCACCAGTCCATAGATCTGCCGACAAAGGGCGAGATCAGAGTAGCGCCCGACTCAGCAGCAAGCTTAGCCTGAACGAGAGAGAATAGCAAGGTCATGTTGCAATGAATTCCCTCTGCCTCTAACACGCGACAGGCTTGCAAACCCTCCCATGTGGAGGCAATCTTGATCAGAACACGCTCTCCAGGTACTCCGAGCTCCTCATATAACGCGATGATCTCACGAGCCATCGAAACAGTCTTTTCGGTATCAAAAGAGTGGATAGCGTCCACCTCTGTTGACACCCGGCCCGACACACGGTTCAAGATCTCGGCCCCAAACCCAACGAGAAGTCGTAAAACGGCATATTCGACCTGAGTTTCTATATGCTCTGATTTGGTCTTTCCATATTGGGCAGCTTGGTCGATAATCGCCTTGTGCTGGGGCTGTTTGGCGGCATTTAGGATATGGGATGGATTCGTTGTACCGTCCTTGGGCTTGAATTTTTCTAGGACGCTGAAATCGCCCGTGTCAGCTACGATTGTAGTGAACTGTCGCAGTTGCTCCAAGGTAGACATGACGAAGGCTTGGATATCAGGGCTGAAACAATAAACTTGGGGGACCAAGAAAGGCGGTTAAGCTGTGGGCATATATGATAATGATAAGTATCTTACTTTCCATTAATTAAAACCCATGAGATGGCTGAGAATAAATAGCTACGGAAGATGAAGCATTCTGCCGCCTTGGGGCAGCTGTCAGAGAACGCTGCGAAGGCTTATGAAAAGCGCTTGTAGGCAGTCGGCATTGTCCGGTCCCGACACAAATCTGCGGAGCCTAGTGATTGGATTAGGTGGACAGACAGGAAACTGGACAAGAAATTGAGATTGGACTTGCTGTAGCTAACACGCTGAGTGCACCTGAGGCAGAATGGCTTCGGAAACCCGGCTCCGGCAGGCTCCGGTTCAGGCTCCGCTCCGGCTCATGCGCGTTCAAGCTCAACCAAGCGTAAGCCATCTCTATATAATCTATGGTGATAAAGCGCGTCTCGTCTCAATGTAGATGTTTTGCTTTACTGATTTATGGCACGCCGCGGTCACAATAACGTTGGCACAATCAGTACTTTGCACGATGGCGTTGGAAGCATATCACGGGAACGGACTGGGCAATGGTTATGTGATCCACCCAATCTTTTAGGCAAGAAATATAATCATCATCTCTGGAGCTGAAGGTGCTTTCATCGACGGTCAATGGGTCTCTAAACCAGGTAGCGTACGAGGAGGGAACTCAGTGGGCACACGCACTACGCTTTTGAATTCTTGATGTAGAGGAATGTTTTAAACTATTTTGCATCTTCCTCACCGGACTGATTGTAGAGTACGTCATGGGGACTCAAAGTCTTTCCATGGGTTAAGATTAAGCAGGAAATTAAACAAACCGGCCCCGGGCGTGCCGGATCTGTGGTCCCAGTTTGTCTTGTCACCGGGTACAGCCCTTACAAAAAGGTGGACAGATGGATTGCTCGTCCTCCAACATCTAAGGTTACTTTCCACAAGCAAATTCAATTACACTACATACTTTTACTTCCCAAGCCATTTGAAATGAGTAAAGAGCTTCCTTTGAGAAAGCAACTTCGGCCGAAGAAGGGAGAGCCAGAAGACACAGCATGGATTTGGGGTGTGGGGGACGAGGTATGAGCTTCGGGACAGCACTCTTGAGGACCTGGCTGACTCAAACACAGCTTGGAAGGCTGAATTTGCAGACACCCGAACGAGTCAAAGCAGCAATGAACGCGGCTTGCTCTGGCGAAGTCATACCCTTGAAGTAAGAGTTCTCCCTACCAATTATGACAAGCATGGTCAAGAGCCCCCGGCGAGAAATTCTCGTTGAAGCCCACCACAAAAGCAGTTGGAAAACACAAGTTAACAATTATTCACCAGTCTTGCCCTCAACCAACCCTCTCCCCCATGCTTTGGTAGGAAGCCGTTTAAACACACTATCACCCAGATCGATAAACACGTGTTCGACGAAACGTACGAGTTAAATCCGCAAACTTCCTCACAGTGGGATGGCTTTCGACACGTATGTAACCACTTAGTATTGTCTCGTCCACAAATGGGAGGCTGACCTTTCTCCAGTTTGCACACATTTCGACAGGATATTTTTATAATCGGGTAGGTAGCTGGTGGGCTGATATAGCCATATCAAACAAACATTTACTACTATCAGTATGAACTGATTTATCACATACAGGTTACAGCTGCTGATATCCTGGGACCGAAAGCGTTGAGCAACGGTGGAATGCAGGCCTGGGCTGACCATGGCATCGCCGGAAGGGGAGTGCTTCTAGATTACCAGCGATACGCTGAAGCCTACTCTATTCAGCCTGCCTACTACGACAATTTCCGAATTACATACCATGATTTGATCAAGACTGCAAAAATGCAAAATATTGATCTCCGGCCCGCGAGAAGTGGTGGGGATATTGAAACCGGAGATATTCTCCTTATCAGGAGCGGGTTTCTTAAGTATAGCTCTTCTCTGGATTCATTCGAGAAAGCAACATTACATCTCCGTCGAAGTCAATTTGGTCCCCATGATGGACAACGTTACATTGGCTTGGAGCAGAGCGAAGAGATGCTTGATTTCCTCCACGACTCCTACTTCTCAGCTGTAGCTGGAGACCAACCAGCCTTTGAGGCATGGCCATCTCACAAAGGTAAGAAATCTTGGCGAAGCTTTCTTATAAGTATAAATAAAATTATATAATGGTAACTTTGCTGCAGAGTATTACTTGCACGAGAAGCTTCTAGCGCTTTGGGGTTGCCCGATTGGTGAGTTATGGGATTTAGAGCGATTGTCGACAAGATGCGCTGAGAAGAAGCAATGGATGTTCTTCATGACAAGTTCGCCAAATAATATCCAAGGTAAGTTGGTAAATAATTATTCTCAATCCTGTGCGGTGTGCTCAATTATAATCGTCTAGGTGGAGTTGGCAGCACCTCTAATGCATTGGCGATTTTGTAGCGGAGTTGGTAGAAATATCGCAAAAGCTCTCGTGTGGTACATTTCAATGTGAGAAAGCGCCATGTGGTTTCAGTGAAACAACGATAAGTAAACTCAATGCAATAAAGTCAAAAAAGTTTCAGTCCTTTTGGAAGTTCAAGGTCGGAGCAGACTGAGAGCTTCCTTGACTCAACTTGAATGGAGAAGTGGTTCAGACGTTTAGGAATCGGCCGGGGAGGTGTGAAACAACCTCTGAAAAGCGTGACAATTCATTATCAAACTATAGTCTATTGCGTAGAGGGAGAAGGTCGACAAAGCAGAGGTATTGACTCATTGAAAATGTGGCGCTCAGGGACATATTCTTGTCAACCACGACAACATCGGATGTCGTGAGATTTGATCAGGTGATTAGATGCGATTTGTAGAAGCCCAACAGCACCAGAATTTTGTGATTTATTCGCGATTCAGCGCCCTGGATAAGAAGATGAATACAGAAATTCACAAGTTCCAAATTATCTATGAATGGACACCTAAACCTAACCTTGCGAATATAACCAATCGGCCTCAAACTGTTGATCCGTTCCTCCCCCTGAGGGCTGCACTTGACCGCTCACTCTGTTTCCTGATCTCCCACGTAAATTCATAAGTTTTATAGGCATCTTCATAGGACGAGAGAATCTCTGTCGTAGAAGCCTCCGATTCTTTCTGGGACGTTGGGGTATTGTTCGTAAATGGATGCAGTAATGCGGCAAACTCCGAATAGAACGGGTCGTCATTTGGAAATATGATTTCCTTCTCGTCTTCTGACTCAGGAGTGCTGTATTTTGGTGTAAGCAAGTTTATCACAACACTGCCTCTATCGTATAATGAAACGTACCGAACAAAAAGCGTGGGTGTCGAGTACAAATCAACCAAGCGAAGTTGATATCCGTCAGTTGTGATAACAATTTCATTTGAATACTTGATGTCATGGAGCGCAACCAGGTGGTTCAATGAACCCAAAGCCCCATTCTTGAATTTCCTAGGTGCTGTCAGTGTTTGATTTGGTTTGCAATGGACATTTCCCTGCAAATAAATATACTTACCAGATTGCGGACGTTCCTCGAGGGATCCTCTCGTCCTCTGGGATGACAGACTCGTCAATGGACATACTTGAGAGCTTTCCAGGAGTTTCATAATGCTCTAATGCATACGCTTGAACAGTATCCAAGACCACGTCCCCGCCGATATAGCGGCACAAATCGCAGAAGTGAGTACCCTGCTCTACGATGGGGCCACATTGTTTAGACTTGTCCCACCAATCTGGCTTTCTGATCTTCGAATAGGCGCAGGTGTATCGGGCATTGATTGACATGACTGTGAGATTGTTTTCCTGGAGGATAGATTTCGCCTTCTGGACAACCTTGAGGTATCTCAGCATGTAACCAACCGACATTTTGTTACCAGACTTTTTGAGAAGGTCCAAGACAGGCAGAGACTCGTGGGGCAAAGCAGTAGAGATAGGCTTTTCGCAGAAGATCCCAGGTTCAGAACCGAAAGCTTGAAGTATCTGATTTTCAAGGTTCCGACCAGGCAGCTCAGTGCCTCGGAACTGGGGAGGTGCGCCTAGGATAATAAACTGAGGCCAGATACCATCCTGCTTGAGTGAGGCAGCAGCCTGGTCCAAAGTGATGAAGTGCCTTGTGCGAGAATAGCAAGCCTTTGCGGTGGTCATGCTTTTCTGTTCAAGGACCTGGTTCACTCTCTCTGTTGAAGGATCAACAATCCCTACTACATCGAGCTGTGCTCCGAGGCATTTCTCAATTCTGAGGGAGTGGTTCCAGCGAACATTATCATTGCCGAACGTGATATTTCCCTAAAATGTTTTATTCTCAGCTAGCTTTCCCCTCCAGGTTTGAGGTGTGGCGCTTACTGATCCAATAAATAGAACAGGGACAGTGGTGGCAGTCATGGTTGTGGAAACTAGTTGTGCATTTGGTAGATAGCGATCAGTTCTTGAGTCCAATTTCTCAGAGAAAAGTCCTATGTAATACTTATGAAGCGACGAGGTCCTTCCTAAACATTACCCCGCGGTTGGCCGTGGTGAACTCTGGCGACGTCCGGCTCCGAGACTGAACCAGCACATGCACATACCATGAGTCAGGTCGCTAATAACCGGTGCCGACCGGTGCCGGGCAGGACCGGTTTGTGGAACTTCATTCCTTTGAGAAAGTGCTCACGTGATAAACATAAGGCCAGCCGAAATGGAACTTCATCCTAGGTATCCAAGCAACTAGCATTAATGCACATTAGTAGAGAAACATATTCTACACGAGGTGGTCGCCACGTGTAGATTGAGGTAGAGGAAAACGCGGCATCATTGGGGACAGCTGGTCGAGTTGTTGATATCGCGAAGTCTTTGGCATCAGCTAACCCCGGTAACTGGGCATGGCTGCTTATGTAACTAGCGGCTGAAACTGAGTATGTAGGAATTGAACTGGTCTGACTGATCTGGACTGAACTCTTCAAGCAACTACGGAGTAGTGACTGCTTTCGTTGTCACTATTATTGCCAAAATGTCGCAAAACTCTCCACAACCGCGTGCGTTGCCTCCCCGACGCCTCAAGGCATGCCGAACCTGCCGACGCCAGAAAATGAGATGCGACGGGAACCCCGAAACGCCGTGCCAACGATGTGTCAATGCAGGTGTGGAGTGCCTTTTCGATCTTGTAGAGCGAAAAGACAACTCCGAAGCTCAGTCGAGTGGAGCGCAGAAGAGAAAGTAAAGTTCCAATAGACTCTGAAATGCCTGATCTGACATGTGAGAATAACCAATATTGCCAACAGAATTGATGCTCTCCAAGAGGAATTGCAACTTCTGAAAGAGACGATGAACAAAATGGCCCGACCAGTGCAAACAAGCGAGACTCAGCACGCTGTAGGAAGTCCATGGCCAAGTGTGTCTCATTTGGCCTCCATGAGAGATAACTCTGTCTCCGAGCCTTTCCGATCCCGGGATTTCCCTGGACAAACCCGAGATATCGCATCGCAGCAAGAAAGGCCGTACTCGGTTACTTCTAACGTTGCCCATAATGACGCTACTGGTTATTCTCAAGGTGGCATTCCGGCAGGACCTACGGACGAGGCAGAAAATACCAACTCAGTTACTTGTGTTGGAGAACGGTCTAGATGTATCGATCAAGTGACTCTGAGTGCTCCACTAACTGCTGTTTATGCAATAACACCACCCCCTTCAGCGGCTTTAAGCCATCACCAAACCAGCACCAGTCCTCTCTCAAGCTCTTTCCTACCCGAGTCTACAAATCGCCACGTCTTTTCACCACAGATCCAAGCAGCTAAGTCAATCAACCCACCGGAATTGCCACTATTAGACCAAGATGCTATTTCAAAGATGTTTCCTCAAGAATCCGAAGCTCGTAATCTTTTTGCTCTGTGAGTCATCATCTGACATGCTTGAAATTTCTGTCTAATGGCTTTTTACTTCAGGTATATGGTTGGTGCAAATCCGTTTATTCCGCTCTTCGATCCCATAGCGGATACTTTCGATTCTTTACGCCGGAGGTCTGCATTCTGTTTAGTCACGATTCTCTACATCGCTCTCTGTCAGACAGAATCGGATACTGTGGCTGGGCGAAACGAGGAAAGTGAAAATAAAAAGAAAGCCGCTGGCCAAATCTCCCGGCTCTTGGCCACGGAAAGCCTTTTCGAAATTCCTGCAAGAATCGAGAGTGTCCAAGCTATGATATTGCTGGCTGCATTCTCTGAAAAGGTTTGGTTTGCAATTGGACACGCCCTACAAATGGCCTTGGATTTGGGTCTAGACGAATCATTTGACCGAATCACGAAGGAAAAATCGTCTTCTCCGGCAGAGACATATACACTCCTTCAAAGGACACGGACATGGCTTATTCTGTATCACATCGAACGCGAATTCGCGTTTGGCACGTCAAAAAAGCCTCGAATAGCGAACATTAGCATCTCTGCCTTGCGCAAGTTGTACAACATGGATATCACGACATCTTCGGATATTCGATACATATCCATAATCGAGCTTGTACAGCTTCGTGGTATGTAAGCATCTAAATGGGAAAGAATTTGGTGGTGCTAAAATTCAGTAGGTAGCTTTCAATTCGATGTTGAATCATGCTCTATCAACACTCCATCCCCTTTACAGTGGGTAGATGGAATTGAGCGACGTATTCGCGAGTGGTACAATGTCTGGGATGCAAACCTTTGCAGTATGTCAATGGCGTCACTTAGCACCCTCTCTCTATTTAAATTACCTGGAATTTGGTGCTCCGTGGATGAAGGAACTAACTTACTTCGTAGACCAAGGCGCAGATACATGTTGCTTCTCACGGACTAGCCTATGGATTCAGCAAGCATTCGCTACCTTGAGCATTTATTGTGATGTGCTTAGTAAATTGCAAAAGAACCACACGCCCGAAATGAGGTCAAGCATGGACGAAATTATGCGCCGAATGGCCACGCTGTCTGTCAACTTACTCCAATTCATCGGAAAGAGCAGCTCATACCAGTGGCATTTCAAGTGGGCTCCAACATACTCAGCCTTGATGCTTACTTTTCTAGGTAAGCTGCACCAAGAAGTCTTCAATGTCGTTACTAACCCTTGTCAGCTATGCTGGCCTTCCAGATTTCCGAAAAATCACCTGATCTCATCAACAGGGCGATTTTGGTAGTTCAGGTCGCGCCAATTACTCGAATGCTTCAAAGTTATCCTCATACGCAGAGACTTGCAAGCCATCTTGAGCAGATCACCCAGTCATTTGAGTTTGGGGTCACGGGGGATATGGCAGATGAATCTAATGATAGAGTTATTAGCCAGGATCAGAGCCAGACTTTATTGCAGTCCGAGGGCCCCGCAGAGATGTTTACATTTGATTATGAAAATCTGGATCTTTTCCTGGCGCCTGGTTATATGGATAATTTCTCTATCGACTAACGGCACTAGTTACCTGAGCCATTGAATCACAACATAGAACCATAGCCCATACTTTTCAGTCCTTGGCGGATCAATTAATCCCATACTGAGTTGAAAACTTGCTCGAAAGCTGGCAGTTTCTTTCAGGGGAAGACTATGGAGTAGGCTGAAATTATAGCGCTCCAATCTCATGGAGTTGTTATCGGCATCTCTCGCGAACTACGGCTTCAAAGGATACGTCACCATTGACTTAACACAATTAAAGAGAAAAGAAGAATGATCTTTTGATAGATAAGAGAGGCAAAGCATCCACCTATTTATACCTCAAAGATAGCATATTGTGATGAGGTCATGTGATCTTGAATGAAGTCCTTTATACCGCCACAGTGTCATCTAAGATTCCTATGATCAGGTACGAGTCCCAGTTGCAAAAGTTATTGTCTTAATCACAGTGTATTCATCAAGCGCATATTTGCTTCCTTCTCGGCCGAAACCACTCTGCTTAATGCCACCGAATGGGGTGGCCGGATCGCTGATCATTCCTGCAAGATGTTAATAATTCATTGTTGGGTTGCTAAAGTAGCATCTGATCGCTTACCAGTATTGACGCCAACCATTCCAACAGCAAGCCTTTCGGCAACCCTCCAGCATCGTTCAACATCCTTGCTGAAGAAGTAACCCGCGAGACCGACATCTGCACGGTTAACAATATTGATGGCCTCTGGTTCGTCCGAGAACGCAATAAATCCGGCAAGAGGGCCGAACGTCTCCTCATGTGTGAATATCATGTCGCTGTTTGCATTCACTATCACCGTGGGTTGGAAAAAATTGCTTCCAAGTTCCGGCATAGGGTTTCCACCCACAGCTACCAAACCACCTTTGGATTTAGCATCCTCAACGTGAGACATGACCTTTGCAACAGCGGCCTCGTGGATAAGAGGTCCATGAGTAGTAGCCGCATCAAACCCATTACCAGGGCGAAACTTTTTCACTCGACCAATGAACTTCGCAGTGAACGCCTCATAGATTGTCTTGTGAACCAGAAAGAAGTTTGCACAGACACAGGTTTGCCCCGAACCCCGAAACTTGCAGTTGATGGCGCCTTTGACAGCTTCATCTATATCAGCGTCTTCAAACACAATGAAAGGGGCGAGGCCCCCTAATTCCATCGATAGTTTCTTCAGTGTTGACGAAGATTGGTTCATCAGTAGCCTGCCCACCCTTGTAGAACCCGTAAACGAGATCTTGCGCACGATAGAGCTGTTGGTCAGTATCTTCCCAACTTCAGGGGTCTTATGCTGGGTCGTGACGACGTTGAAGACTCCCTTAGGAATCCCTGCCCTGAGGCTCAACTCAGCCAAAGCAAGAGCGCTGAGTGGCGTTTCCGCCGGTGCCTTGAGCACAACGGCGCATCCGGCTGCTATGGCCGCTCCCGCTTTCCGCGTCACCATCGCAGCAGGGAAGTTCCATGGCGTTATGAGTGCACAGACGCCCACAGGTTGTCTTATTGTCACAGCCCGGTTGACCGGGTTGCCGGGTTGTATCACGTCTCCATATGAGCGGATAGCCTCTCCAGCAAACCAGTCTAAAAACGAAGCAGCGTACTCGATCTCCCCACGTGCCTCTGGCAGCGGCTTGCCATTTTCCCAGACAAGGAGCTTTGCGAGGTCTTCACGATTCTCGCGCATCAGCTGCGCCCATTTCACTAGGATGGCTGCACGGTTCCTCGTGTCGGAGAACTGGAACTGTTCCTGAGCTAGGGCAGCAGCTTGGATTGTTGTTTCGACATCAGTCCCACTGAACTCGGGGCATGTGCCAATAATGGCGCCTGTAGCAGGATCTAATTCCACGTGTAAGTTCGTCTTCGGCTAAGTCGAGAGTTTCACGGAGTCTCACCATGTACAGAGAACGTCTGCCCAGACGATGCGCTAACCCACTGACCATTCACGAACGCCTTGTCCTGAAACAAAGAGTGATCTTGAAACTAACTATCACTTAGTGCCAATTGTAGAAGGAGGTTTGCGCATCGGTGATACATACCTTGGGTTGGGACATGGCGGAGGTTGAGAAGTCTTGTTGAGATACTTGGCGGTGAGTGCAGCACTTGCTTTACAATGATGGCAGTATCGATAGTGGACTTCAAGGGTAGAAGTAGCTGAAACATTTAAATTGGCTCTATGCAGATTCTTTGGGTTGATTTTACAATGAATGTAACGAGGCCACCGAAGTTATCGGAATCCGGACACATCATGCGGCGCCGCCCCGGCGCCGGAGCCCGGCCGGCCACTTATTAGGTCGATGCAGGGTTACGACGGAGAAAACAATAACGCAACGATCTACCAACGGGCGAACACTTCCCACTTTGTTCTCTTCATCTTTTAATTTACTAATTTCTCAACATTAGAAAATGGTCTCATTTTTGTACGAAGCTAATATTGTTCTTGCGGAGTTCAATCTCTTCGAAACGGTCTAAAGCTAAGCCTTAGAGCTGCAGCAAGGCTCTATAATATCCCACTATCAACTCTATCTTACTGATGCGCTGGTGATATGGTACGGCATGAAACTTATGTGGCGATAGGAGGGGCTTGATTCAGGATCCCGTGATTTCCTTGCAATCTGCTATATATTATGTACACATAACTATCCGTTATCCCGTTCTTTAGCTCATGATGGGTTACTTGTTAACTTGACACATCGATGAGACCACTGAACACAGTGGAAGTTATTTGACTACATACAAACATGTGTTGGAGCGTAAGGCTGATTTCACTATCATTTGCTAGATCGGCTCACCACCCTCCTTCCCACCACATATCTAGCTGCTATTATAACATCCCCCAAGGTGATATTCTCTCACGTTTGTCTCCATATACAGTTGCGTTCTTCGATTGCGCAAATAACTTTTACATTCGAGTGCACCCGTTGAGCGACAGGGGGACGATGATGTGCCATTGGTGATGATCTTTCCCACGCCTTGTCTGAGTAAGCCATAATTTCTGACGCCTTAAAAATCCCCAAACCGAGCACCCCTGGTACAATCCTGCTTCTCTCATCAACAGACTGGCTGGCCTCCGTGCTTTTCCATTTCCACACAGCATGGACGCCGACTGCCCCGACGTGGGCAGTACGAACCCTGACATTGCAGGGCTTGGGGTAGGTAACAAAGCCAATCACTTTCACGGGCGGTTGTATCATTGACGAGGGCTCAGATTGTCATCGCTTTTGCATTCCAGGCAGGTGTGTCACTCGTGCTATCCATATGGTCGTTTCTGCTATGGAAATCTGCGGTGGCCTCTCTGTTGGACGCCAATCCGGGTGCTCGAATCATGTTCCATGCCGCCTCTCTTCGATTTCAAGGGCTAAAAGGCCTCAATGAAATTATAAAAGACGCTTTTGGCTTGGCACACAATACGGACGAGGGGGATGCGATGAGAGCCCCTCGAAGGGCATTGTCAAATTTTTACCGACGGCATGAATCTTCGTGGGTTCTTCGTAAATGCACCATCGACGGCATTCTTCTGGCTATTAGCGACACGCAAACTGTGAACGGTATGGGGTCTCTGTTCATCTGGATCTCTGTGGTCTCTTGGCCCTGTCTGTCCCAAAATTGTCTGGCTAATTCTCCTCTCAAACAGGGCTGAGCCTGCTCATTGCCGGCCTAGCTCAATACAAATCTTTGAGCCTGTACCACATGCACATCATATATGACACGGTCAACTTTACAGCGTATGAACAGGTTAGACCCGCTGGGGCTTCATACACTAATCGCTGATGATTTCCAGAGTTTCAATGTGCGGCAGTCTTGCAAACGTATATGGCCAGGACAAGAAAAGCCGAAGATCACGCCTGTATGCTTTCGTCGCCTTCAGTGCCTTGTATCTAGCTTTCTCGGTCGTCTTCGCTACCAAGCTGCGCTCGTGGGATCTGACTGAGTCAGGACAATGCTACAACTATAGCCTGATCAGCTTGCCAAACCATGGCCACCCATCAGACGACATCATATACGTTGGCATCACCTGCTTCTGGTGTCTCTGTGTCCTCATCTGCTGCGGTCAGATCCACTCGTCCTTCATGTCCGAGATATACCAGGAAAATGCCAATAACCCTGGCACGGCCACCTCTCCAATCACCGCACTGGCCGAGAAATGGGGCGTCAGAGGCGTGTGGCACGATCTCCTGGACCGTTCCCTGCGGGACGTGGTGCAGCAGCCATCCCTCGAGAGACTTGCTGCGAGTATCGTGGTGCTGGCTATGCTGCAGTATCCCGTCCACCTGTACATGGTCATTGCCCTGCGCATATCCAATGAGGGGAATCTCAGCGGCGACTCTGAGAATACATGGGGTTTTGGGCAGATTGTCGCCTTGGTGACGGCTTTTTCTACACTGATGGAATGTGTGAGGGGATATTCTGGTACGCATGAGTGATTGTCTATATTTTGCCTTCAGTTGCTAACTAGTTATTTTCCAAGATTATTGTGCAGGAATCAAGCTTCTCGAGGAGGCTGCTAGCACAGAGGAGCCCAGAGAGGCGAACATAGAGGCGCGACTAACATGATGGCCCCTCGAACAAGAGAAGTACTAAAGCTGAACTATAGAGCTGAAGCGAAAGAAAAGGTCTTTGTTCTCAAGGAACAAGTGGATTGATACAGTAGCTAAGCGAGTCGATCCGGAATTAAAGAGGATATTCTTGACGCTCGTTCACGTCGACGATACTTTGGCTATAGAATACATGCTGGTACCGGTATCACGGACAAGGACCTCCCACTCACTCATCATGGTGTGAAATTGCAGTCTTCACTAAATTCAACGTCTGGAACAAGGAAGGAATCCGTCATACCTCCAACTTGAGAAAGCTAGAAAGTGGGCGACTTTCTCAACAAGCAGTAAACGATGTTGGTTCCCTTCATTGAGATTACAGACGAGTATCCCGCCTTGTCCCAAGATTGCCCATTGTCATTTCAACACGTAGAACTGCAAGATGTTACCCACATGAGTTTCGTTTACAAGGCCGTAATGAGCTCCGAACATCAGAGGGAGTTTGTGGTAGACCATGACCACCTGCCCAACCAGCATACCTTAACTAACAATTCGCTCTTGGTAGACAAGCAAACCGACATCTTGGGTTGCGCTGAAGGAGTTTAGGAAAGAATCAGGCTTTGACACCGAGCGTGGAAATTTGGACATGATTCATGGAGTGACGAACAATGAGCACATCACTAAAAACATCGGATGTTGTTTCGGAGGAGGGAAGCATCTCATTGTTTCCCCCTGGGAAGAAGGTTCATGACTGTCAAAGCGAGGTTTACCAGTTTCCGTCGTATAGAAAACCCTAGATCAGTGATGCTGAAGGTAGTGCCTTGCACTGCGGACATTGCAAACAAGGACGCTGTGCAGCTCGCCGACGATCTCGACCCAAAAGGGCAGAGAACGTTAGGAGTCCTCACCAAAGCCGATTTAGTTGACGAGGGCGCTGGAGGAAGCATTCTCGATGTCATAAACGAAAAGTCGCATCGGCTAACGCTGGGCTGGACACCCTGTGCCGTGTAGACGTTGCCAACTTTTAGTCACGCCCACCGGACGGCATCACAAGACGTGATGTTCAAGTAGGCCGTAGTAAAAGGTTGTCGCCATTCTGATTTCTCTATACCGCGAGCGGGACACCACGCAAACTCCCACATATCCGAGTCAGGATCAGGCCAAACCCAACTTTGGGCCGACCCCATGGGGCGCCCCCAGATTGTCACTCCGGAGTTACCGGCGCCGACCGGCACCAGCTGTTATTGTCAACCCGAGGCGGCACCGGTATACCTCCAGTAGCCAGTTTGCTGTCAATGCCTGGGGTGGTGCACATTGTGCCATGTGGCCTTGTTACCGGGTCCGGCCGGGTGGGGGGCAGAACATCTCCTTTCCCTTACCCCATGGGGACAATGAGCAACTTACATAAAGCCAACGGCAACTAAGTCAAGTCGTCTGTACTGCCACGGTCTTCACGGAGCACTTTCCATCCGTAATAGCAACCATGACTACGCCCAATCCCATCGCCGTTCGGAGAGAGTCCATTAAGCAAGGAGTGTCGGTTTCTGAGATCCGCAACTCGCACCATGCTGAGATGGCAACTAACACCAGTGCCCGGGCGGGAACCCTCGCTGACCCGGCGTATCGGGGGGAAGTGGAGAAGCGAATGAAGCGCAAGCTCGATCGTCGGTGCGCGTTGTTCGTTCTCATCTACATCATGAACTACCTGGATCGGAACAACATTGCTGTTGCTCGCCTTCGAGGGCTTCAAACGGATCTGGATCTGAATGACTCGCAGTATGCAACTTGCTTAAGCATTCTTTACGTTGGCTACATCTTGATGCAGGTTCCTTCCAACATGTTGATGAATCGCATCCAGCGTCCATCTCGATATATAGCGGTTGCCATTCTACTCTGGGGTCTGCTCTCGGTCCTGTCTGGAGTTACCAAAGACTTTGGTGGGATGGTAGCAACACGTTTTTTCCTTGGCTTCATCGAGGCCGCATTCCTACCTGGAGCATTGCTCATCCTGTCAAAATGGTACACCCGCCGGGAGCTCGCCCTTAGAAACGCAATTCTCTTTTGTGGGAATCTTATATCCAACGCCTTTTCTGCATTGCTTGGCGCGGCAGTACTATCGAACATGCAAGGCGTTCTAGGCCATTCTGCCTGGCGCTGGCTCTTTTGGAGTAAGTCTCAATGCCACACGGCGGTTGCTGGGCGGCGGATACATGGAGGAAATGGCTAACTTTGAGGCCAATTCAGTTGAAGGTGCCTTTACGATGGCACTCGCCCTACTTGCGCCCTTCATACTACCGGACCTACCCCACAACACGAAGGGGTTTACTGAGGAAGAACGACAAGTGGCGCAGCTGAGGATGACCGAGGACGTAGGAGAGGCTGATGCCGACTCGTCAGAGCAAGGCACCTTTTCTGGGCTCTTCCTTGCCCTCAAGGATATTAAGGTGTATATTCTCATGCTCGTCTTTACAGCATATACTGTTGGCTTGTCTTTCAACGCATTTTTTGTGAGCGTCACCCTGACCGTCCCCAACGTCTTCTCGTGGCTGATAGTTTTAGCCGACATTGACCGGAACCCTCGGGTTTGGATACGTCGAAACGCTGCTACTGAGCTCTCCGCCATGGCTTTTTGCCTGTATCGTCATGTTAGCCAACGCGTGGCACTCTGATAGGACGCAGGAGCGGGTACGGAATGGCCATTGATCTCCAAATGCACAGTACTAACAATAATCGTCAGTTTTACCACATCGTCTGGCCGATGGGTATGGGTCTGATCGGTTTCATCATCAGCATGTCAACGCTGAATGTTGTGGCGCGCTATATTGCTCTGTATCTGCAAGCAGGCTCCTACGCAGGGTGAGTCAAGCCCGGACTGCTACGCCGCTACGGCTTCCATTCTGGAAATCTACGCCTTATAAGCTACGCTGTACAAGCCCATGCATGCTAATATGACTTCGTACAGGTTCTTTGTTATGTACTCCTGGATCGCTTCGACCTTTCCCCGCCCGCCTGCGAAACGCGCCGTGGCCATCGCTTTGATTAACGCGTTTAGCCAACTTGGAAATGTGGCAGGCTCCTACGTATGGCATCTTCCCTCTAATGGTTACAGGTACAGCTATGTCATCGTTACCTGCATGTTTGGTGTCACGGTTATTGGCTGTGTTGTGTTTAGGACAGTACTTGCGAAGCTGAATCGAAAGATCGAAGAAGGTGAAGATCCCTGGGAGACTCATGGAGATGTCATGCAGAAAACCTCGGATATGGCAAGGAGCGAAGGAGGAGAAAAGGTGGTGGTCTCCTTCCGGTATTTGATTTAAGTCGCCATTGAGATGACTGGCGACCTTGTCCAGCAGGATCTCGGCTGCGCTCTTGGCCAGGCGACCCGAGCACCCAACTACCTAGTACTCATGTAACATTCAGTCCCTCGCACTACGTTCGTGAAGTTTCGCTCCGCTCTTTCCTCTCCCCGTTCAGAATTCCAGGCAGTTAATTAGCTAGTTACTGGGTACAAAAAAGTTCTATGTGGATATTTCTACCTTTGCCAACTTCATCATTGACCCCAATAGTTCAGATGATCAAGGGAGGGACATCCTTCGTATGGCTTTTGACGGCTTATGCAAAACATCAGTTCCGTCACTCAGCATTGAGCCCGGACCTTGCCAACGATATCCCACAAGAAACCATCGCAGCCGTCAGTGGATGGGTTATGGGACTAAAATCGATCTGGTTTATTCATCTCTTATCTTCTAAGTCTCGCCCAGGTGCTGGACCCATTTCCGGGACAAGGGACTGGACATTATGAGCCTGAACATGCCGTTGGATTTGACCCCCTTAAGGAAGACATACCCCTCTATCAGTCAAGTCTCAAGTCACATACTGTCTTCATATCCCCAACCCGGCTGTGGAGGCCTGGGAGGCGATGGAAAATAAGTTGGGCATCCGTAGCGAAGTGGGGCCGCAGCCCGCGCGTTAGATTTGTCACATCCTCGCTGTGACAGCATAACAAGGTCACCTTCGCCCAGCTTCGGCCGAGGTCAGGTATGCTAGAACTATAGACGCCTACTAGCAATTAGAGCAGGAGAGGACGAAGAGTCTCTTCGACCGCGGTGGAGGTACCTTTCCCCCCCGGTGGCGGGAGACTTAAGAGCAGAAGAGAAATCTCTTGTCCGCCGCTGGGTTTTGAATATTTCCATCGGGAGCTTTTGATACTTAAGATGAGAAATTGGCCGGCAAGGTATGCCAAGATTTGAGAATCAGTGTCCTGGACTAGGATTGTTCGATCTTTGAACGAGTGTAAAATGCCACCACCTCATACCTTAGGCCATGGCAACAAAGCCCCTGCCGAAGAAGACATGTTTCAACCACCTTGTCGCTCCGATTGAGACCTCGCTTGTTGGCGAATCTGCTCAAAGATATTGACGGCTTCCTGCCCATTCCCAGGGGTTTTCAAGATTCTATGCCACTCTACCATCGTATTCCGTTTACGTGGACTTTGGATCTTAGTTGCTCTGTTCTTTGATGATGCAGCAGGTGTCACCGGCTGTTGTGAGTGAGCAGGTAATAGGACCGCCTGTGAAAGCGACAAATCGGCCCATAATGAGCGTTGCAACCAATTCAGAAGACCGATTTCCAAAATAAAACTGGCATGAGGTCCTATAACTGACACATCCTTCCGTATGGAGGTGGTGAAGACCATGTTGGGTATTTGACTGGACAACATCGAGGTGCGATCCGAAAATGCGGACAGCTTGGAGATATATTCCATCGAGTACTTCGCCCCCATTCCGATGACGCTCTCCCTTTTCACCTCTGGTTCGTGTTTTGATTCTGACATGATTGTGCACCAGGGTTTGCCATCGAAGATACCAAAACACACGTAAAAGTCACTCGAATAATTGTCGAGCATGCATTTGCAATCAGCGATCCCAACCCTGTTCTCAGAATTGAACAAGAATATTTCGTCCTTGCCCAAAAGCTTAGGAGGCCAACAATCAGCCACCTCAATGGCGGTGCTCTGTAGCACGATTCTCAACCGCGCGGGAGAATCGTGCGATGCCGGGACTACAGATAATTCAAGTCCCTGATTATCAACCCCAACCTGCCCAGCTGGATGACAAAATATCTTCTCGAGTCGGAACTCGCGTAGAATGGACTTGTCGACACCCACTAGCCAAGAAGAACTATAACGTGCTTCTTGAGCAGAAGATTCCCCAGAGGACGGATGCAGTGCGATACATAACAGCCGGTCGTCCAACTCGCAATATATCCAAGCCAGAGCAGGGAGAGAAGCATCGTCTTGCCTTTTTACTGGTAGCGTGAGGCGGAGGCCGCGGCTAGTGATCTGTGGAGGTTCCGAGGGGATAAGTTCGAAAGAGCTGACGGAGTGATGAAAAGCTTGTTGGGATAGACGCTTATAGTCTCGTAAGCGCACAGGCTGGTACGGGAGCAAGGACACCTCATCCTGACCATCCTCAGTCAAATCTTGAGGCATTGACTCGAGGCTTTTATAAGCGATGCTCTTTCTAGCCCAATCATCGTTGAACTTGTCTAAAAAGGAGGGAGGGTGGGTAGCTAATCGAGATGAGGTTGCGAACAGTATGGGTGAGGAAGCCAAGATTCCCCAAAGACACTCCCCCAAATGGGTGTCAAGTGTCCAAGTGAAAATGCTATAGTCTTCTTCTTGTTGCAAGATTTGCTCTTGGAGTCTGATAAAGGACCTTACCCCCTCTCCATAGAGAAGTGGCATGTTGACATTGAACAAGCCTAGTAAGCAATAGGCCATATCTTCCTCTCTGGTAGTACTTCTTTTGGAGGCCCAAGATAACCTTTCAGCAACATTGCAGGTCTGAGGGCTTTGGCCGTGAAGGATCGGAATGGGGATGCCTGTAATGTCAGATATGTAGGGCGCGAGGCTCCTTTTTGTGCCAATTTCAGTCCAATCTGCGGCATAGAACTCGACATATGGGGGCGCAATCAATTCCTGTAAAGTCCATCCCCTCGTGAACCAGCGACTTTGCGGAAAGTTGGCAGTGATGAGGCGATTTACCGGATAGGCCGTTGTCCATATTGGTGGAATATGCTGGTTGATCTGCTCACCTGTGACTAGAACATCTTGTAGGTAGACATAGCAGACGGCGGACTGTTTGTACCATTTGTACATGGAATTAATGGCCTCTGAGAGCTCGGCGCTGCTTTCCTTATTGATACAGCAGGTGTCGACCCAAGCCCAGTCAAGATTGCCGACACGCTTTACCATGTGGCAAAAGTCGCTCACCTTGCCATACCCCTTCTTGGATGTGGCGGACCCGTTGAGGATATCGGCATACAGTACTTCATCATTCCCCCAAGTATGACTGAGAATGCCATAGGATGGGATGCTGGACCCGAAGAATTCTTTGAGCTCTCCGGACGATGTGTTGATGAGTCTCATGGTGCCCTGCCTCCGCCCGCCACAGTCGCGCGCGCGGAGGCTACGCGATGATGCTACGCGTGAATGCCGCGCGTGACAAGTCGAGTCTCGCGAGTTGGAATAAGATAACGTACCGGAATCTCTACCGCACCATCTTGATGGCCTAGAAATTGGTCTTGGTCACGATAGCTGAGTTCAAGAGGAGGATCATGAGACGCGTGCAGTAAAGCCGATGATTAGCCCTAGCCAACAGCTACAAGGTGGCCGATGTACATATGCCCTTGATGAGGGCTTAGCGAGGTATGACATTTGATACTTCAATTTCTCGCGATATCTGTCATCAAATGTGTGTCTTCCTGAGCGTCACTGCAAGCCAGGAAATTTCTACCACGAATGTTGCTGTTAATCCTTCTAATTTGTACTGAATTACAGAGATACCTACCGCTTACAGGTACCTTATTTCTTACTATTTTATTTCTAGCGAGTGCTTCAGCATAGGTATCTGCCCGTATTTTCTGAGTCTTCTAACTCACTATATATTTTTGGATTAAAGAAAAATCTACAAATTAAAAAGATTTCTTTAAGAGAAGTAAAAGGTTAAAAAATTTACCACATGACTTATGTATAAATTATTCATTATTCTACTGCATAATATAATAATCTCCATTACACCATTCACACTAGCTAGGGTGTATCTGTTCTGATAGCTCTTATATCCTACTACATATTCATTAAAATACTATGCTCTTAACGACCGAGGGTTATATAAGTCAAAGTAGGTAAGATCCACTGGCGTTTGCACAGTTAAAGAGATTAAGCACATTTTTTGGAAACCAAGGTGAGCATTTTATATAGAAGAATACAATCTTTGCAAAGTAGCTCTTTGATATGCTCTATCTGATGCATCCCAGGGAAATCCATGACACATCAAAAACACCTCCTTCAATATCTAACAGCAGGAACTACACTTACTTGACTAGCATAAAACTTTTGTAATCCATAGAACAAAAGAAGAACTGAAAACAAACAACCGCATTTAGTTTTAGTTCCCCGGATAGATAATAAGACTAGCTTATTTCATTCCTGGCTTGCAAATGGTACCTGTCAGAGGAAGCGTCCCATCATCGAAATACTTTCTGATAGCTTCAATTATGCACTTGGATGGATGGTTAATGACACCGTGCTAAAGCAATAGAATAACATGTCAGCTAACTAGTCGCACCATAGATTCAAACGATCAACAAGAAAGTTTACAAACGGGGATACTCACACCAACTCCATCGTGGAGAAGAAATCCGCTTCCTCTGAATCGAGAAGCAGATGTATATGCGCCCACAAGAGGAGTGACAGGGTCGTATCGAAGATTCGTGAAAAGGATCGGCTTGGAAGTTTTCACATCCAGAAGCTTGTTGGCATCCATGATTTCCGAAGCTTTAAATGGCCATCTAGTACAGGCGAGACGGCGGATAGCTGAAACGTCGACAAAGGAGTTCTGAGCCAAGGTAGCTTGAACGATGGAATAGAGATCATCTACCGACTCGACGCGGTATGGTGAATCCCCGCAGGAGATGGCAAACGTCGAGTGCCTGCCCAAGTTCCACGGACCCCATATATCGGTTTCGGGCTCTTCCATGATTCGTTTCCATTCGCCATTAAATGCCGCCTGAAGAATTTCAGGGATTTTCCCCATAGTGGCGGGAGAATACAGGTTCGAGAGAATCAACTCCTTCAACTTCCTGGACACAGTCGTCTGCCCAAGTTGCACGTCGATGGCTTCGGGCACCTTGGCATCCAATGGCACTGTGACATTTGCAGCCTCCTCCAAAAGCTTCTTTGTTGACTCCATCAAGCTGGCCGGTGTAGTGTCCTTCCCATTATGAGTGGCAAGAACACATGCATCACCAGCTTTAACGCAGTAGTCAAAGACAACTTGAAGGAGGCCTTCGGCGTCTCGCGTATGAGTCAACCATGTGCCACTCAAGTAGTCATCTAGTCTAGGAATGCTGTCAAGCAGCATCCTGTCAAATCGGTCAGGGAACAGGGCCGCAAAGTACTGGCCCAGTATGGCACCATACGACACGCCCCAGTACTTGAGCTTGCCACCCTCTTGGAGACTGTCAACGATGGAAAGCATGTCTCTCGCGGCAGTAACCGTTCCCATGTGTGGGCCATATTTTTGCATGCTAGTTTCGCAGTCATCTGCAAAGTTCCCGAAGTCGTCCCACATCCCTCCTTTGACCTCTGCCCATAAATCTTGCTGCGGTAGGATATCATGTTGTAAGTGGTAGTTGACGCCTCGACGGCTCTTTGCAGATTTACTCTTCTGACATTTGAATGGAATCGTCCGCCCAGTGCCACTTTCACCTGTTAGTTCACAATCAACCCCCAAACACACTAGTTGGCTTACCGAGGATCCCATGACACCAGGTCATACTCTCCGCCGAGGACACTGTATTCCGATGGTCAGTTTATGGGGTCTAGGTGCTTTTATTTCTCAAGGGCCTCGTACTCTTGATATATCTTTCCTGCAGTGGTAACAAATTGTATGCCAGAGAGACCAGGCCCTCCTGGATTCAGCAGCACACTACCTTTGGAAGGTTGAGTGGTCGCTTTGATTCTGATCAATGATAGATCAATCTTTTCTCCACATATGTCTTGGTAGTTGAGAGGCACGGGTAGCTTGGCACATTCTGAAATATTGAGGAAGGTCTTCTCATATTCCTCCATCTCCAATTACCGCATGGTGCCCATTCCACTGGAGGTGTCGTTGAGTTGATTAGCCTTCTCTGCACCTGGGTCAACGCCTGAGCAAAGTTGCCCAGGAGAAGGATACTAGAGCAGGCTGTCTCCAGTCTCATCTTGTTGAGTTGAATAGGTTTATAGGCAAGGAAGATATCAGTGTACGAGATCAGTTGTCAATAGAAAGAATCAGAGCATTTGATACTCATCGTTTGGATTCCTTTCACTCTTTATATCAGTATGGTATATCAAGTTATCTCTGTATTATGTACACACAGTCTAAGGTCTGACAGGGGTATTTCATCATGCACGATGCTTGGCCTCACGCAAGATCAGCAGCCAAGACCACAGCAACAGGGTTAGATCGTTGCAAGTTTCCTAATTCGGGCAAACGAGAAGCATCAAGTCATAAGCAATTTTTCCTCACTAGCTTCAATGTCATCTTCAGAATGTGTCAGGGTCTTCCCTTGATCACTTTTTGGCGTGAGGTTGACAAGCCTTGGCTGCTACACGGGCCACCGCAGTTTGGGGCAGATGCGCGCAAATATAATAAGAAGTCATTAACATCAGCGCACACATTGATTGTAATTGGCTACCAAGCTAAACGCTCGCATGCTTTGACGGTCTCAGGCCAAAGAGCGCTTTGTGGAGTGCCTTCGCCAGCTTCGCACCATTTTGATTCCACTGATGAACAAGAGCAAGCTCTTCAAACTCGCGGTTGTAGATTCTAGAATATCTCCAGTCAATCAACGTGACCCGGCCGATCCATCAATTGGAATATTCTATAGATTAATATCTCCATGACATATTATAAACGGCTTGCCCTATGGTTTCACTCTGCTCATGTCGAGTCTTCCAAGCAACTTGTCAATGTCAATGCCAGTGCAGTTGAAACATCCATTTTGGTACTAATACATACATACATACATATACATCAGGGCCCATCAAGATTCTAGTAGATGGCCTATTTACTCGCTGGGCCGCTGAAAATCCCCTCCTCAGTCACCTTGGTCTCAACCTTCATCCCCCACGGATCCTTGTCCCCCACCCAGTTCTTCTTCTTTCCAGCTTTGCGGACCTTCTTGATGTTGTCGTCTACCACCTTTCTAAACCGCGACGGGTCATTGGCAACCTTTTCAAGAGATACAGTCAAGATGAGCCCCTCCTTGTCCTGCTTCTTGCCCAGACTCCATGACCAGTCTGCCGACAGCAGCACCTTGGGCTTGGATGCGTGTATCTTCCCCGTAGGATAAAGGCACGTTAGCAGATACCCAATGCGCCCAAGATACTGCGCCCACCACGCATCCTCCGGGCTGATGATGGATTTGAGCGACTCCCGGAATTCGACCTCCCTCGGTGGGAGTTTTCCGCGATACCTCGCCTGCAGCATCAACGCCAACCGGGCGCGATCTTGATGCGACACACCATGCGTCGACGACATGATGCCTGTGCTTGTTGAATACAACGCTGCCGTGGAAGCCGTCTCTTTGGACATGAACATGTGTGCGTACATCACATTAGCAAACGCATCGATGACGTGCCCGCCGAAATCGTGGGGAAACCGCCTCGTTCCATCCTTTGAGGCCTTGGGTATACTGCTCCGGATATGGTCCTGGATCTGCCGCCGCGAGCCAGGCGCAAAGCTCCGCGAGGCCACTTCCAGCGGAGCCTGCTTTCGGACAGAGTCTGACATCTGCCGGAAGAGATAGCCTTCCCTCACGCCACCCTGGCAGAAATGGGCTTCCTTGATGCCGAGCGGGATCGCCTCCGCCAGCACGTTGACCAAAAAGGCCACGGCGGGAACTTGAGATCTTCGCCGGTCAGAGACGCGGAAGATCTCGTGGGCCGCTTTGGCGACTTGGTTGACCGCCTCTGTGTCCTGGAACTGTTCCCTCCCGACTGTGTACCCGTTAATGATGGATATCGGATACTTTCGACCATGCGTTTGGTTGAGATACAGCAAGAGATACCCCCATCCTCTAAAGCCACCGCCCGACAAATAGATGCGAAACCCGCCCTCCCTCCTAGCCTCCTCGACCAACGCCTCCGGTATTTCTAGCTTCTCATAAGCCTCCATAAAGTTCCGCACCATCTCCTCGCGGAACTCATCCACGGCGCTCTCAGCCTCCTGCTTCCCCTTCCCCCGTCGAATCTCCTCAAGCCGCCTCGTCAGTGCCGCCGCGCCATAGGGAAAACTGAAACTCCCCTGCGAACTGGTCCTGATCGTCCCGTTCTTACTGATGATCCACGTAATCTGCGTGCTCCCGCCGCCCAGGTCCATCACCAGCCCTCCCATGGTCAGGAACCCGCTCGCGATCCCCAGCGCGCCGACCTGCCCCTCCTGCTCCTTCTCCAGCAGCTCGACCTCGAGCCCCGTCGCGCTCTTGATCGCATTCAAGAGCTGGACGGAGTTCTGGGCCACGCGCGCCGCCTCCGTCGCGACGACGTGGATCTGGTCCTTGGCCACGCCGAAGTCGGTGCAGATGACCATGAAGCGGCGCAGGGCGTTGCACACGGCCGTGATGACATGGGCCGGGATGGGGATGTGGTCGCCCGTCTTGCCGTCATACTGGGCGTCGTAGAGGGATATGGAGGAGCGATAGACGAAGACGGTGGGGATGATCCTGGCCAGGGGGGCGGACAGGTCCGAGATGGAGAATCTGATTCCGTTGCTGCCGTCATGATCGCCGCGTCGGCTTCACGGTCAGCAAATGAGCTGTCCAGTCCGGGGGGAGGATGGTTTTTTTTTACTCTTTTGAGGGCTGGGGCAACTTACCTTCCCATGTCGACGAGGCCTACCAGTTTGTCCCTGTGGCCTTGCCAGGGTGGATGCCCGCATCGTAGCTCGTTGGGCATCAAAATGCAGCATTCATCTTCGGATTGCGGGGGAAGAGTCGGTGAAAGGGTGGGTGAAGAGTAGGAAGGGGGTGAAGGTGAAGATGAAGATGATGGCGCGGTATCTTCTGACTCTGAAGGGTGCTCAATAAATTCAAAGTCGGAAAACTCCAAGTCGCTTTCCATGATTCAGAGAAGTTTGTCAGTGTAATAGCGGGCTGGGATGTGTTGCCGATGATTTTAATAGTCTGGGGTATATCCACGAGCTGCAGGGATTCAAAAGTCAGTCAGTGAAAAGTGCGATAAAAAAAGCAATCGGCAGACTACGAGGTTAATAAATATCTACGAGAAGCGCAGCAGCTGCTCTACGCTAGAATCGGGAAAGGATGAGGGCGAGTCTCGTGCGTGATGTCAGCCGCCACTTCAGCCATGTCTTGAATTGGATCGTGATTTGCAGGGTGACTGGCTCACGAGCCGTTGGTCCCATCCCGCAAATTTCCTCATTGTTGGAAGCGCCCAATTCAGGTTGAAAGCGCTGGCGTGAAAGGCACCAGAGAGATGGCAATATCTTTGTGTACTTGGTTTGTGTCTACGGAGACACTCGGGGCAAACAATGAGGGTGCTTGATCGGCGGTGTCGCTGTCTCACGATGATGTGAGTGTATGGTGTGAATGAATCACTTACCGTGTAACTATGACTGTGTCTTATTACTGGAAGGGGGGCCTGAGAGCGGCCTCCAATGTCAATCCTTCCAGCCTTCCGATATCATCGTTCCCGTGGGAGGCACCTTGCGAAAAATCAAGTTTGGATGTCTTCGAAAAAAATGGCTATCGACACCTCACAATCACGTCACCATCCACAAGATGCAACTCTGCACGATCAAAATGGCGTGGATTAGTTGATGATCACTCACGGCGGGCAGGATGATTGTTCGGGCCTCCAGATAGAATCAAGTGCGATCTTCTTTGTTGTCCCATTTTTATTTTCCTTTTGTCCTGTAGTCTATTTAGAAGATGGTCGCGCACCCATCCATCCCGTCTATTGCTTTCCCAGTGTCTGCCCTAACTCGTCCGCGCGGTGAGTCGCCGCCTTGACCGACTTGTCCACGATCTGCTCAAAGCCCTCGGCCTTGAAGGTCTCCAGAGCGGCGTGTGTTGTGCCGTTGGGGCTGGTGACGTTCTTGCGGAGCTGCGCAGGGTCGTCGGACGACTCCACGAGCATCTTGCCGGCACCGAAGCAAGTCTGGCTGGCCAGTCGGGTGGCCTGGTCCCTCGGCAGACCCAGCGCAACGGCACTGGAAATCAGATGCTCAACCATGTTGAAGAAGTAGGCGGGGCCGGAGCCCGAGAGGCCAGTGACGACGTCGAGGAGCTCCTCCTTGTCAACCCACTCGGTCGCCTTGCTGACGCTCGACAGCAGCGCAGAAACAAGCTCCTTCTCGCCCGCGGTGATATCCTCGCTCGCAAAGAGACCCGAGGCGCCCTCGCCGACCAGCGCGGGGGTGTTGGGCATGACGCGGACCACGTGCGCCGTTCTTCCGTCGCTCGTCTTGGACCAGTCGCGCAGGCTGTCGAGGGTGATGCCGGCAGCGATGCTGACAATGATGGGGAGGGTGGTGCGCGATGACCAGGCGGCCCCGAGCTCCTCGGAGACGGTCTTTGTGACTTGGGGCTTGACGGCGATGATGACGATGTCGGCGTCCTGTGCGGCCTCGACGTTGGAGGTGGTGGTGCGCACCCCGGTGGCGGCGAGCTTGTCGCGGTTGACCTCCCAGGGCTCTGAGACGTAGATGTTCTGCTTGTTGACGCCCTTGGCAATGAGGCCGCCGATGATGGCGCCAGCCATGTTGCCGCCGCCAATGAAGGCCAGCTTGCTTTCCTGGAGAGCTGGAGCCATTTTGTAGAGCTGTTTCTGCCGGTCGCGGGGGAGTAGGTGGCGGGGAGAGGGAGTCTGAGAGCTCGTACGGTCGCGAAGAGAGGCGGGAGTAGAGCTGCTGGAGAAGTGTCGTTTCGGTTCGAGACGTCGAGGATGGCGGTGGCGATGGCGATGATGATAAATAATGGTTGGATTGGGTCCTGCGCCTGGTCGAAAAACCTGTCGCGGTGGCCAGTGGTGAACGACCCCGCGATCGGAGGGGCCACTGACACTGATAG